AGCTGCCATGGTAAATAGCTTCCTTCTTTCATGCTCTTCTGCTATGATATTCTGCCTCACCTCAAGCCCAAAGCAATGCAGACAACTGGCCAGAGACTTAAACCCCTGAAACTATGAGCCAAAATAAATCTTTCCTCCTTTGTTTTTCTGTTATTTGTTAATGAGACAAAAACTGACTACTAATACATGACATTTGATATTTTCTCACCCAACTAAAATTCTTTAGTGTCTTTCCATATCTTTATAAAAGATGTAAAAGAAGCTTCATCCTTATTAAGCTCAATATTGAGCTACTATCAAGCAATCTCTTATATTTTTGTTTTTCTGTAGGATAGAATTGATAGTGTATTCTTGTACTGACTGCTGTTTCATTCCTATATGCCTTTGGATGGGTCTTTCCACCTGCAAAAGAGCCTATCCTAAAAGTGGGCAAATTTTTTATTCTTGAGCATCCTGCTCAGACATTATGTCTTATACAAATTGTCCTGTGATCCCTTTTCTTCTCCCACCATTCAACAAAATTCTGTATTTCTTTGTAGTGTTTTGATATCCTGTAAACACTTTCACTACATATACTTCCCTCTTGTTTTAATTATTAGTTTGTAGGCATTATTATTAGACTATCATTCTCTTCTTGTTAATTGTGCATCAGCTATAATAGTCTTACTTCAGTTTCTCTTTGTGTCCTCAATTACTAGCACATAATAAGCACAGGTTTTAAATTTTTTTTGCTTACCTGAGCTTAACTGAATAAAACCAACTATTATAGTATTTAATACATTGCTATCCAATAATTCCTATATCTTTATTTATGGAGTATATAGTCCAGATCCCCAGTGGTCTCCTGAAACTGCAAAAATCATTGGATCCTATGTATACTGTTTTTTTCTTATATATACATGTCTATGATGAAGTTTAATTTATAAATTAGGCACAGTAAGATATTGCTACTACTAATAAATTAGAACAGTTATAAGAACATACTGTAACAAAATTTTCACAATCATTACTCTTGTGCTTTGGAGCCATTATTAAGAAAAATAAAGGTTATTTGAGAACAAGCCCTGTGATACTGAAATAGACCATCTGGTAAGTGAGACAGACACTGATTAATGGGCATGTAGGCTGTATAGCATGGATACACTGGACAAAGGGATGATTCATGTCTTGGGTGGAATAGAGCAGAGCATTGCAGAAATTCCTGTTGTTCAAAATAACATAAATTTGAAACTTATAAATTATTTCTGGAATTTTTCTTTTAATATCTTTTTGTTGGGGGGTGGCACGTACCAGGGACTGAATTCAGGGGCACTCGGCTATTGAACCACATCCTCAGCCCTATTTTGTATTTTATTTAGAGACAAAGTCTCACTGAATTGCTTAGCGCCTTGTTTTTGCTGAGGCTGGTTTTGAACTTGTGATCCTCGTCTCAGCTTCCTGAGCTCTGGGATTACAGGTGTGCAGCACCGTGCACGGCCTCTTTTAGTATCTTTAGATCACTGTTGACCATGGGTAAACTGAAATTGTGGAAAGCAAAACTATGAATAATTCTAACTACTGTAATAATTAAAAGTGTGTGTACACTCTCCATAAATTGCTCTGTAACTCTTTGGGGACTAAATGAGAAGTACTCTATTGGTCAGGGTTAGTAAGGAGACAACTTGGTAAAGACTACAGAGTGCTACCTCTTCAGTTTTTCCTGAACTGAAGACTTTCAGTTGCATCTAGATTTAAGACAAAGTAACTTTATTATAGCAGATGGTTAATCCAATTGGAGCTGTCCATTTGCACATATAGACCCTCACTAGACAGTATATACCAGAAGAGTGAATGTGAGTATGTGTGCACGCAAGAGAGCTCATGCTACTAGTTCTATGTACTTTGTAGACTGAGTTTAAGTAAAATGAAAATTTGTGAATAAAATGTTACTTACAAGTACTAACACCTGTGAACTGTGAATTGTTCTTCTAATTGATATTCCTATTTTCACTCTTCCTTTTCTTTCATCCATTCACCAAGTCTTTTTTTGGGGGGGTGAGGGGTGATATGGAGATGGTGAAGAGGCAAAGCAGATATCCATTTATGGCAAGAAAAGCAATGAAGACAAATTACAGATTTTAAAAGAACAACAATACCACAAACATAAAAAATTCAGAAAAGTATTTTAAATTAATTGCCTGAAACATCACTATGTTTTTTTTCTTTACTCTTGGCTTTAAAATTTTTGATTGCCTTATCATTTGACAATTTTGTAACACTTTGTCTCTAATGAGAAGTGATAATTTAGTATTCCACTCAAGCAAAGTTATTGTTTGGAAAATTTGATTTTCACAGTTTGTTCACATGTTATTTGCCAATAATAATGTCAATTTTTAGTATTGCTAAATTTGGGAAATTCTGTCATAAATTTCTTGTGTGAGCTTTCATTTCAAGCATTTAAGTCTTCTTAGGCAGTAACAACCCTGAGTGCTTTCTAAAATGCTAAGACTCATTAACCTGTTTGTTGTCAAGTTCTTGTTTTAAAGAACTTCTTGTATTTCATTACCTTATAGATGCCAATATTTCTAGTTTCAATGTATTTATGTGGTTCATTTTCCTTCATCAATTATAAAAATTTTGAGTCTATTATTTTTATTTAAAAATTTCTTTTTCCCTCAATAAATTATTGATTTTAGCTTTACCTGATTTTTTTGCAGTAATATTTTTGTCAAAATATTTCTATTAATTTCACATAGTAATACAAAATAATTTTATTATATAATATAAAATATGATGCATTGTTAAATATATTCCCAAAGAAGAAAATCATCTATTTTAACTAGATTGATGAGAATTGAATCCTGAGCTTATGATTTTCTACAGCTGGGGCTGGATGAATACATTGACTCCACTGTCCACTGCCTTCAGGCACCTTATTCCACAGAGCACATTCTCATCAAGATTACATCACCTGATGCTTCCCTGTAGGCCAGGTGAGTTGTCTCAGTGGTTGCCAGGAGTGTTCCTGGGAGCCATTTCTACACCAAGACAGCAAGAACCTGAGCACACACGTGAAAGTGTTTGTGAAACGCCACAGTTTTAAATGCTAAACCCTATCACATCAGTGTTGCACTTGGGACCCTTCAATACCTCCCATTTTTTTTTTCTAGTAAAATGCAACTTCCTTAGTAATGTCTATAAAACACTGTATGGTTTTGGTTTTTCCCATTTCTCCAAACTAATCTTCAACATATACCTTTTGCTTTGGCCCAGCCATACTGGTTTTACACTAGTTTCAAGAAAATGCCAAATTTCCTCCCCTGTCCCTCTCACCCAGGCCATCAATGCCTACCATTCCTTTCACCTTAGGATTTTTGTTTATTCTACAGAGAACTTTTTTCTTCAGTTACCCATTCTAGTCAACCTTTCTTTGCCTTAGCATATCCTCCAGGTTCTAATCTCCTTTTGGAAGTTGTCTTTTGAGTTCTCTAAATGATTTTTTTTTTCTGGGATGTGTAACTTTTTCTTATCAACATCCCTTTCGTAATGGTCTAATTAATCTATGTAATATGCGTATGGCTGGTGTGTATCTATATATGCTATATAGGTATATTGCTATATATTTTATATTTATATATGATAGCTTTATGGATAGCTCAAACATTGTGTGTATAAGTCCCAATTTGAACTCATTTCCTTCCCCAAACCTATTATGCCTCTGGTATTTCCTATTTTGTGTTATCACCACTGATTCACTTGTTTGCCCAAGTCAGAAACCCAATCACCCTACCTTCTCATTTGCCTCTGTTATCCAATCTGTCACTGAACTATATTGATTTCCCCTCATGAACATCTCCCAGATTTATCCCTTCTTCTTCCTACTTAGCTCTTCATCTTATTTCTTCCTGGAGTGATAATAATGTCTTCCAGGGAAGACTTCAAGTGGCCTGCTTAATTTCGTCGTATCTTTCAGCCTGCTTTCAAAATGATCTTTCAAATATTCAATTTTGATCATGTCAATACTTTAAAATTCTTCAAATATGGGACTTCACTTATTAACAGACGAATTGTAAATTAGGCTGGACATCTGTTTCACGTTCACATCTGATTTCCTTTTCTCCAGCACAGTTCACCCAACTCCACTCACTGCACACTAGACAAGCTTTCTTGTTGCACTTGCTCTGCTTTCCCTGTTCTGTTAGCCAACTGCAACCCAAGGGCCAGCGCAGGCATTCTGGCCTCGCACCTGGGCAGTGCCACAGGACCCTGTACTAGCGCTCCTCTGCTGCTCTTTAAGCCCCGCCCCCGAGGGCTGCCTTTTCCACCCCTGTACCGCCCGCTGGTCCCCCAGAACCGACTCACGAGTGTCCTCAGGGGGGACACTCAAAGATAATGAAAGAATGAGCGAAAGAATGAGAATGAAGCTTGAAAACAAAGGATTTGGATTCGGATGCAGCCGCTTCAACTAATTCTAATGGTGGTCCTTTCTGGGCTGTACTCTGTGTGAGGCAGTATTCCTGCCAAATATAAACCGGTGCTCCAACGCCACCCTCCCTGCCCACCCGAATCCCCGCACGTCTCGCCGCGTGGCGGGAAAGCCGGCCGCCGGCAGCTCTGAAGGGACCGACTCAGTCGTCAGCGCCCCGCGGCCTGGCTCACAGAGGCGGCCTGGCTCACAGAGGCGGCGTAGCTCGCGAGGCGGCATCGCTCACAGAGGCTGCCTGGAGCCCGCCGCCCGGCCCGGCGCAGCGCAGCGCAGGCGGCCCGCCTCGCGCCTCCGGGACTGGGGTCGTCCTGAAGGCTGTGGATGAGGGCGCGCCCCGTCCAGGGCCAACCCGTCAGCAGCTAGGAGAGGCCGTCGCCGCCTCCCGCGCACGCCGCGCCACTCCCGCCCCGCAGGCCCAGCACGCTGGGCCAGCGCGCGCCGTCCGTTTAACGGTTCCGGCCCCTCCGGGGTGCTACCGCCCTCGGGGCCCGGCGCCCCAGGCCCCGCCCCGCGCCCCCCCGCAGCCGCCGCAGCCCCTGTCCGCCCCGCCCCCGCCGCCTCCGGGCTCCGCTAGCCAACGCGCGGCGGGAGCCGTTCCCCGACGGGCAGCGACGCCGCTGCCTGAAGTCCTCCCGGATCTTGAGGCGGTAGGTGTCGGCGGAGGATAAGCAACAGCGGGGCGAGAGTGACGGGGCGGGCGGGCGCAGTCTCCAGCCCGGCACTGGGAGAGCGGAGGCGAAGGAGGGCGCTGGGGTGGTGGGTCCGGTCGCTGGATCCCCCCGCAGGTGGGATGTAGAATGGGACGGGGTGAGCACGTCGGATGAGGGCGAGAGGCAGCGCAGAAGATGGGGAACAGCCGGCTGGGATCCAGTGGTCCGGGGACACTGGGGAGGGGACCACCCAAACAGGTGAATAAGTGCGCAGCGACCTCAGTCTCTGTGCCCCGAGCGGCCCAGGTGCCAGGCTGCTTTCAAGACTTTTTGCTAGCCCCTCCTCCGCCCCAATTCCGCGGCAAAAGATAGGGATTTGGGCAAAGCTACAGAAAAAAGACAGTTTATATTAGGGAACTTACAAACAGCTTTGTCTGGACAGTTTTTTTCCCAGCTGAATGTTAAATAGTGCTTGCACTGAAAAATGCTTTGAAAAAACTTTTATTTACTGAAGTTATAAAGAGAAGGCATGAAAACTGCGATGGAATTTACAGCATTGTGATATTTTGCGTTCTGATTCTTCCTACATGTCGCAACCAGGCTTGTGGAATGCGAAATGACTTTCACCTCCTAAATCGTAATTGGTTTATCTCTTGTTCTATATTTCCTCTGTTACTTATCATCCATCATTTTATAAGTACAGGTAGCGTTTTGTTTTAGGAAATACTGAATTTGTAGAAGTAATGGTTTAAATTGAGATTAAATCTTATCTGTAATCACACAGGAAATATACACAAGGTAAATGAAAATGATCTTATTTGTTAATGTAGCAGAACCATCAGCACTTTCCAAAGAAGTCAGAATTAATTTATTTTTAAAATTCTCAGTGCTGGGTTTCAAGCCCAGGGCCTTGCGCGTGTTAAGCAAGCACTTTACTACTGAGCTACACCTCTAGCCCTCAGAAGCCTAGAAGTTAAATTGGAAAATTTAAGTAGAGTAACCAGCTTCTAAAACTAAGTGCATAGTACATTTCTTATGTCATGACCTCTAATTTGTATGGCAGTCCACTGTAAGGAAAACATAATTACCATAATTTATTTAATATTCCAAGAGAAATTATAAATTGAGGAAACAAAGTATTAACATTTTTTTTCAGCAAGACTTTATTCATAAATGTTCCCCTTATAGTTAATTAATCCATAAATGTAATACCTACATGGAATAACGGATAGTCAAACATCTTACAAAACAAGCAATTTTAGAGACAAGGACATGAACTTTGTAGTCATATTTTTCACTTCTAGGCAATTACATAATTAATTGTGTGGCTTTGGGTATGTCTCTTATTTTTCTGAGCCTCAGGTCTTTCATTAGTAAAAATGGAACTAGAATTATTTTTTTCCAAAAGTTAATGTGTGGCTCAAAGTGTAATGAGATAATATAGGTAAGATTTAGCATGTGACAAGATCTAAAAAATATATTTTAATTAAAAGATATGTGCTCATTAATAAGATTGTGTCCAAATTGATCAATTATGTGCTTATTATTCCCATTGTACTGTATTTGAGAAAAATCTAGGTTAATTTAGAATTTCAAAATTGATAGGGCCATTTTCTTAAAACAGAAAAGGAACCTAAGATATAATTGGTATTACCCTATGTGCAATAGCAACTACAACTTAAGTTTCCTGACTGATGTTCCTGACCAATATTCTCTTCACACAACTTGGCCTTTTAAGATGATTTGTTAAGTATGGGTGAACTTGGAAAAAAAAACCCAGCAGCCATTTTTGTATTAATACAATGAATATTTTTGATATATTGAATCAAAATATTTTTAAAAAAACATTATGCCACAAAACTATATATTTACATTTTAAAAGACAACTTTCTGATAGGTCCACTACTTGCTACTAAGTGTTATAGGTGGGATTCTGTTTGTTTGCAACTGTTGTCCTTTTTTAGCAGTTAATATCATAAATACCTACTCTAGGTGGTACCAGTAACATTGAGGGGAACTTTGAAGGTGAAGCAGGCAGTAGAGTTTAAGAAGTATTTTGTTTACTGGTTGTGTAGTTCAGTTAAGCCTTTAGGTTATAGTTTGTGGAGTCCTGTCTTGATTATAATTCCATAAATAGGTTTTATAATAATAATTATATCTTGTCAGAATTTTAATTTTTCCATTACCAACAGTATAATGGTATGTACTATGCATTGCAATCTTCAGTTTATTCTGTGAAATACCAGTGCTTCTATGCAGGCATAGATTACATTTTTTTAACATAATAAACAGAATATTGTATGGTACCATCTTTTATAATTTTCTTGATGATGTGGATTCATATATGGGGATTCCTAGCTGTTTCTTTCCTACAACAAACTGAAAGGTTAGATAGCACTAAAAAAGCTTTAATTTTTTTGTTTACATGTTTTGCAAAATCATATAATAGAGTTCTGTAACACCCCAACCCATGAAAATCCCTAGTTTGAATACTCTGGATTTGCCTTGCTCAGCAACTGGAAAAGACTTTTCAACCTGCAACTCAGTTTCAGCTGAGCAATGAAAAACAAGGAACTGTGTGCCAAAGTACTTTATTCTTTTGTATTCCAATTCACTAGTTTCATAAGGGAAACAGGATGGAAAGTTACTGCATAATAGTATTAGGGTCCTCATTAGAATGACTAGCATAGCAACATATATTAGATTGCTTTTTTGGTCCTTATTTTAAATATTCCCTTCCACATAGAAAATATGCAGTAAATATTTGTGAGGGCTTTCTTTATACTTATGCTTGTAACTCTTTTTTCACTTCCTGTTACATTAAAATTGTCTTGCCAATAACTACAGCTTTAGAAGGTTCTTAATAATTATGTTAACCAGTTAACAAACATTACAAAGCTAGGCAGATATTAATTTATTATACTGACTAGCTTATCTCCAAATTTCAGGAAAAGGTTAATTTTCCTGAAATTAGTTATCATTGCTAGTTTTCTCATGTCATTTTGAAGTTTATAATTTTAACATTTGGATTATGTATATCCAAACTTAGGTTTTAATAGTATATAAAGCATTTCTTGGAACTAAAAGGGAGTTACCCTATATTATGTTGCCCCTAGACTTATGATTTGTTGAAGATGATGTAATTATAGTTAGCTTTACGCTTGTTTATTCAAAATTAAGTGAGGTTTTACTTTTGACTTATCTTGATGTACATCAAAATTTAGAAAGTATGTGTCCCACACAGATGTCAGAAAATTTTAGTTATATGGAGAGATACTTAAATTTATGGAGTTCAAAATTAATTATGTTGCAGGTACTAGAATACAAAGATAAATGAGGTATAGTTTCTGTGGTGTCAGATAACTCATATCTAATCAAATAGGCATGTAGTGTATTTACTATGGTATATTTTAGAGACACTGACAGTGGAGGATGAAAATAAGGAAAGAGAAATTACTATTTTACTATTAACTATTTTTTAAGAATTAGAGAACTTCATGTAAACTATTTAATGTTACCTGTTGAGATATGAAGACATTTTCTTAGGAAATAGCCAGAACTTGACCTTGGTCTTTAAGAATGAATAGTTATTTGGGAGAAGAACAGCAGGGAAGATGGGGGAACTCCAGACAGAACCTAAGTTTTCAGCTATATGTAAACTAAAATAACACTAATTTAACAATTTTTGAACATCCACTGTGTACTAGACACTGTGCTGCACACTGGAGATATGAACTATAATTTAACTTATGCAGAAAGTACCATATTAAAAGAGGATACAGGGTTGTTTTGTGAGATATAAAAAGATACTTATCCAGAGCTTGAGCAGGCTATCCTGGGTGTGAAATGGAGAGAGAGATTTGTGGATAGTTAGATTGTAGAGTGATATCAAGAAGCATGGGTATGAGCATGCTCCTCACTTTCTAGATTCTTGACCCTTGGGTAAATTATCTTATTTCTCTAAGCCTTATCTGTAAATTGAGGATAGTAATATTACCTAATGTTGACTGAATTCTTATTATGTTTCAAGTGTTGTATTAATTGCTTTTTGTTATATGTGTTTCAGTTTTTCATCGATGTGACCAAAATACCCAACATAAACAATTTAGAGGAGGGAAAGTTTATTGGGGGCTCATAGTTTGAGTTCATAGATTACATAGACTCCATTGCTCTAGGCTTCACCTAGGGCATTATGGGGGAAGGGTCTAGGGGGGAAAAGCTGCTCAGCTCTCAGCAGGGTCCGGAAGCAGAGACAGAGAAAGGAAGGATCCTGCAGGGCAAATGAATCCTTTCAGGGTAAAACCCCAGTGATCCACCTCCTCCAGCCATGCTCCACCTACCTACAGTTACCACTTAGTCCATTCAAACTAGGACAAAACTGATTAAGTTATAACTCTCTAATCATTTTACCTTTGACTATTCTTGAAGTTCATAGGAGCTTTGGGGAAATACTTCATATTCAAACTATACAATATTAATTAGCCTTCACATCAAGCCTAGGGGAGACTATCTATATGTTATCTGTAGTTATATAATTAGGTGATAGAGCCATGTTATGAACCCAGGTAGGGCTGACATGAAACCTGACCTCTGTTAAGAGTGCCTAGTTTATAGAGCTGTTCTGAGTAAATGGTTTATTGTACATACCTTCCTGGGGATATTACCTGTTTCTGTTATTAATAATCCAGGAGATACTGGTGAACTGAGTTTTCAAAGCAAGAATATGCATGAAGAGGTCATGGTTTAAAGAGAAAAAATACTATATTTACCCATTTGTTCAGGGAACACTTGTTTATTCCTATTGTGGACTCAAGTCTAGGTACTGTGTTAATTGCAGGGGCACAGGGTTAATAAATATTATTTCTCACTTTAAGATAAATCTGCTTTTTACTTTTGTTTAACATGGAAAACAAAACAAAGAATAGTACAGTGTTCTCTAAATGTTTTGATGTGGATGGGTCTTAAAATGGGTCTTAAGATGGGTCTTAAGAGTGGAAGCATTTAAATAAATCCATTTAAAAGGTGATCAAAAAGATGAATTAAGAACTACTGTGGAATTAAGAAAGTAGATGTGGAACCAGGTGCAGTGGTGCATGCCTGTAATCTCAGCAGCTGGGGAGGCTAAAGCAGGAGGATGGGTAAGTTCAAAGCCACCTTCAGCAACTTAGTGAGGCCCTTACTCAAAAAATAAAGAAGGCTGGGGATATGGGTAAGTGATTAAGCATCCCTAGGAAAACAGAGAGAATAGACATGGACATGAAGAAAATGTGTGAGATATATTTTGGAAATAAAATGGACAGGGGTCAGAGACTTAATTATGGAATCGGGACTGTGATTTAGACTGTCACATTGAAGGTATGTATCTTTACAAAGGGTAACCTAAGAGACTTGATGATAAATTCAATAAATATAGGAGAAGGGGCATATTTGGGGTCAAAGTAACTTGATTTTGGATGTTTTCAATTTGAAGGGCCTATTGCTAATAAATTGAAATAGCATGAGGCAGTTGGAAAAATGGAGCTAAAACCTGAGCGGTAGATGGTGAAAGTATTCATTCGATCATGTTTATCATATACATAGGTAGATACAACTATGAAAATAGATGAGATGAGGTAAGAAAAGCCAAATTTAGTCATGTTCCTACATTTAATTGGAGAAGAGAAGTGGCAATCAAATAGATAGGAAATAGCCCCAAAGGATAGACCCAAGAGAAGTTAAGCGAGGAAAATGTTTTAAAGAGGGAATGTTCAACTGCTGCAAATGCTCTAAGGAAGTCTGAAGTTATTGCGTATCATCTTAAATGCATTTTTGGGTTCGTATTTCCCACTTCTAAAAAAGATCTTCAAATGAGGGTTTTGGTTATTTGTATATATGTAAAACATCTTGATTATATTGTCCAAATAATAAAAATTTGTTGTTCTCCTCTTAAAGTATGGAACCTCAAGGTCTTTGTGACAATGGAAACCAAAAAGTTGATTGGTAAGCCGCTTCAACCAGCAAGACCTGTTCGTCATCTGACTTCTCCACCAGGTGAGTACATAGTGAACAGTTCATTAAATTAAAGTAGTTTGTTAATGCCTGATTAATGTTTAAAAGACTAAATAATATGTAAAATAATTGTTTGACATGGATATTTAAAGAAATAATAAAAACTGATGATCTCTGTTTGAGGAGTTTACAAGTATTAACAAAAGAAAAAGATTCTTAATCTACCCGTCCACAGTCTACCAGACTAAAAAGGATAGGAAGAGTAGTAGTCCTTACTGAAAGTAACTATGTGATTTTTTTTCCTCCTGTCTCATTTTCATAGTTAACTGACTTACAAATTGTGCCCTGTGATTATTACCATGCAGAGTGGTCACACTGGAGAATTAACTTTTTGAAAGATATATCTATGTACAAAACAAATAAAAAATAAGCCCAGAAAAATTTAACATAACACAGATTGTTTGGTCATTTCATACTTGTACTCTAATAGAAGTTAAGACTGTGCTTGAGTTGAAATATACCTAATTTCAGAAAATCTAAACCAAACACCAATCTAAAATTAAAATGTTCTTTTGCCCTTTAAAAATACTCTTTCAAATTCTTGAAATATTTGATATTTAACTACTGAGTTGGAATACTAACATTTTTATTTTATTCATTATTTTTTGCTAGAATGGCTTCTATATTCTAACCTAGGTAATATAAATATAATCTGTTTGAATTGTCATTAGTCCATATGTTTCAACTGAATTAACTGACAACTTAGCAAAGAAAAAAATATAACCCTTTTTCATCACTACAAAAATGAAGCAGAAAAAGTAGAAATAGAACCAGTTCTTGTCTCTTGTTCATTCTCTCATCCTTGGTTCCTAAAAGGCAGATTATCTCCATTTTACTTGATTTCCTCTTAATGTAGTTGTGATTCAGGATGGACAAATGAAATTAATGTTTTTCTTGGACCATAGCTTCAAAATGCTGAACCTATGTCCTTCTAGTGCACTAGACGCAGTTGTATAAGGTCAAATCTCAGGTTTTACCTTAAAGGAAAGAAGGCATAACACCATTGGCAGCACCTCCTTTCTGTCACCAATTTCGCCAGCGCTCCTCTCTCTCTCCATCTCTGCAGATCTAGGTCACCAATCTCTTCCCTCCAAGGCTGTTACATAGGTGAATGTGAAGGGACATGGAATGGGCAGGTACCCCTGATCTCTCATTTAACTATAATCCTCTTAATTTCAGTCAGTGGAATTAGGGGCTTATTAAATAGAAAATTCAGTAAATTAGAAATTAAGTTTCACCTTTCTCAACACACTTCCCTACTCCCTGAACAACTGAAGTCCCCAGGGAAATCTTGTACTTTTTCTGCAAGACTTATATTGAATTATATCCTTTTGACAAGCCTTCCTGGTAACTGCAAACCAACTCTGCTCTCCCCCAAGTATCTTTCCTAAATATCACATAACTTACCATATATTAAATTATAATCATTATTTATTTATGAGTTTATCTTTTAAAGTGAGACCTTTTATCTTTAAACCCTTTTCATACTTATATACCTATCCACTAAAACAGAGGCTGACACTTCATAGGGTTAAATAAATATTTGTTGAATAGATGAACTATCAGAAAACATTTTAAGATAGTGCTGAAGTTATCATAGATACTTAAGCGTTTTAGGTGATGTGATGTTATTTATTGTCATCATGGATATTTAAAATAGTTTTTTTTTTCCTCTCCTGACAGGACCAGTGTTTCCTTTCAACTTTCAAAATGAATATCCATGCAACACTCAGTGCTTACAAAGTGGAGTTAGCAGAGTAAGTCTTAGAAATTTTAATAAACATGAGCCTGGGAATGTAACTCAGTGGTGGAGCACATGCTTAATATGCATGAAGCCCTGGGTTCAATCCCCAATGTGTGTGTGAGCGCGTGCACACACACATACAGAATAAAATTAAGCATTGTAGACTGAAAAGTAACACTTGTTAGATGGCTGTTATGTCAGATTCTGTACAAGGTGATTTATATATTTGTGAAAAGCTCTGATATATTTCAAATATATGCTCAAAATAATATATCATCCTTTTAATCTACCACCTGTAATCTTCAAATGTAAACATTTTTGTTGCATTTGTTTTTAAAAATTTTTAAAGAACAATCTAACATAGTTTTAAAACACATTGTATATCTTTCACTATCTCATTTCCTTCTCATCCTTCCCAGAAATAACTGTCCTTAGTTTTTTTTTCATGAATATATTTGGACTTTTTCTTTGTTTTGTTTTTAATACTTTTATCTGAATAATATTGTACCCATGTTTGGTTTTGCAGGTTTTCCTTTCCCATTAGTTTATATTAAAAATTTTAATGTTTTGACTAAGTAAAATAGTTATGAAGTGTAAAATTGAAAATATACAAAATGATATTAATGAAAAGTTTTCCTCTAGAGTCTCTATCCCCATGTCACCTGTGTCCTCTGACCATAAGTAACCATTTTTATCCAGATAATACCATAAATAAACTGTGCATGGACAAGCATTAGTATATTCATAAATAGAATACTAAGCAACTTTTCAATGAAAAGACCAGTTCTGTATTTGCTGATATAGAAAAATATTTTAATGTATGGAGAATGTCACCTTATTTTCATTTTCTGTTGAAAGGCATTTGTTTCTATTTTACAATAAATAATAGTGATTATCCATCAACATGTTTCATTTCATACAAGTTTGTGAGATTCCTTGTGGTGTAAAACTAGAGAATTACTATGTTAAGTGTTCTACCTTCATTAGATATTGCCAAATTACTCTCAAAGTGGTTTGTGTGTGCAGAACATGAGAGCTCTGCTCTGATTATTCCATATCCTTACTTTGTTATTGTCAGACTTAACATTTTTTCTTTGTTCAGTGGGTGAGAAATCATTCATTTAATTTGACCATTTAGATTTATTTTTTTGTGTGAATTACCAATTCATTTTATTCACCCATTTTTCTTGTGTTGCTTTATTCTTAATTTATTTTATTGTTCTTATATGCACAGCAAATATTTTCTTTGTGAGGAATCTGGTCTGTGAAAGAGTAATTTTCTTTGTGTATGTGTATGAGTTTGTGAGTCTTTGAGAACGTACACTAGAAAGTCATGTTAATTTTTGTTATTTCCAATAAAAAGAATAGTGTGACTTATGTCATAGGCCCTCTGTGTTAAATAAGTGTATTCAACAGGGCCATTGCTACCCATTTGGTATGTACAGTGCAAGAATTAGAGCAAGTACAAAAATTTTAGAAAAATGCAGATTTTATTAGAATATGATAGTTTGTTCCCACCTGCTAAAAAGTCTACATCAGTGCTGTGAAAGGTACCCTTTTAGATGTACCACCTACACGTGGTAGTCTCAAGTTTCAAAACCTAGCTCAAATCTTTTTTATATGTATGTTTTGGGTTGGTTACCAAACCGTTTTTGTATTTACTTGTCTTGCCTGTAACATGGCAATCATATTTTCCTTGTCACTTACATGATAATTACATAATCATTATGATAATTAACCAAGATAACATATAATTACTTTATAAAAGTTTTTTAAATTTACTCTTTTACTTGCTGTGAGAAAGATTTTGAATGATCAGTATTTTCATTTTTTAATGTGTGCAGACATGACAAAATAGTTTTTACCTTTGAGTTTGATTTTAGGTCTTATATGTGAGTAAATATTATAAAGTTAGTGAAATGTTCATCTGCTAAAATTTTTCAGATGTATGAAATTTTTCATGAATAAAAATGTCCTATTAGAGTTAATTATATTTGAGAGTCAGAAATAACTTTGGGGAACCTAAATCTCTGGCATTTCCTATTTTTTCCCATCTCTGTTTAAAAATAAATTTAAAAACCTGCTAATGTTTTCTTTTTTTCTGATAACTTATTTTGAATTATCTTCTTAGTTTTTGTTTTGTCATAGGGATAGATAATTAGTCCTGCTTTTAGGCACAGCTCCTTAGGTAGCAAGGAATAGTTTATAACTTGTCAAGAGAGTAATTAGAGCAAAGATGTTCATTTTTCAGTATAGATGTCTCTAAAAGAAATCACCTTAGTGAATTATCGTAGTTAGGGACTATTTGTAAACTGATTTTTGCAGTACACGAGGAGGTCATCTTTTAGGGATAGGATTGTGTTGACTATGGTTTTGAAACTGGTTTATAAGAAGAGAACTATTTTACAATGAGCAATCTTGTTTTGTCTTCTGAGAGCAATCTCTTTTTGTTATAACTTGCTTCTAGTTAGATTTATAGGAAGATAAATTGTAAATCAGAATGTTTCTTAATGGACATGTAATCAGAAAAACATCAGTTAAAAATGAATCTTTCAAATCCCAATCAATTAATTTAGCTAATCTCACAATGAAGATAGTATTTTAAGTACGGCCAGGAAACACTGGGTTTAAGCCTCTCTCCCCTCAGGACAGTGTTTCTGGTTTTTTTTTTTGTTGTTGTTGTTGTTTTTTCTTTTTTTGGTACTGGGGATTGAACTCAGGACATTCAACCACTGAACCACATCCCCAGCCCTGTTTTGTATTTTATTTAAAGACAGGGTCTCACTAAGTTGTTTAGTGTCTTGCTGTTGTTGAGGCTGGCTTTGAACCTCCAATCCTCCTGTCTCAGTCTCCCCAACTGCTGGGATTACAGTTGTGTACCCCTGTGCCTAGCGTATGATTTTCTTTTCTTCAATGAATGAACCAGTTTTTATTTCCCCTATTTCCAAGGTATTATAGGAAACAGTTCATGTGCTTATAAACTGACATAGGCATCTCTTTTGCATGAGATCAAAAAAGTAAACATTCTAGTAGTTTTGCAGGGTTTTGTGAATAACAATGTGTTTTTTCCATCAATTAAAATATTGTAATGACTTTGGAACTATTTATGACTTCATAATTCATCTTTGATCTACCTTTCAAAAATAACCAAGACTATAGCAAAAATTGTTAAATATATTTTGAAAGATGTTTTTGTTATTCATTTTTATTAAGTAAATCTATAGTGGTTGCCTATTCTTTGGTTCCAGATATTCCTCAACGAATATTTTGATTATTAGGAAAACATATTGGAGTGGTAAAAACAGATTATATAAGTTTTAAAAATGTATGTACTTCTTGTTCAACAGTGTAAGACGAATGGAATGCAAGCCTTTTCTCAAGGTCTTAATGAACAGCAGCAACATCAGTCTCCAGTTAAGAAAGGTAAAATTTTATCATAATTCTTACATTTTATCATAGACTATCTTAGTATTCATTAAAGCTGACACTACTTTTTGCATACCTGTATATACCTATGTATATAAAAAATTTTGTTATATTTTTTCAAGTTGATCTGTCTATATTAGGCTATTGGTTTTACAGCCCAGAAGGAGACCAGAATAACAATGGCTTAAACAAGATGGAAATTTATTTGATCTATCCTGTAAAATTGCAAGCTGGTATATAGGCTCTGCTCTGTAGAGTAACTTCTGCCCCAGTGTTCTCTTATTTCTATGCCATCCTCAACAAGTGGCTTCCTTTGCTTTGTCCAAGGTAACTGCATCTGCTCCCAACCTTATGTTTCCTTTCTAGTCATCTGGAAGGAGAAAAGGGGAAGGAAGTTTTCCTTAAGAGTGCAGCCCAGAAATTACATGTATTACTTCTCCTTATATCCCATTTCCATGTTCAGTCATGCTGTAGCTAGCAACAAAACAGATTGGAAAAAATAAAAAGTATAAAAAAGGTTCTATTAGATTTCACTTATAGTATTTACTTCTGAATTTCTAAGTGAAACTTTTTAAATTGTTATTTCCAAATTTCTCAATTTTTGATATTGTGTAGTGATGTCAGATCTTCATAAATGAGAACATAGGTCTTCCATACCAACCCTTTTACTTCTTCATCCTTCCATTCCCCCTCCCCACCATATAGATATTTCAAAGTTTTAGTTAAAGTGTTAACCACTCTTTATATTATTGTAACTATGTAAATACAGTTGTTTAGCCATCAAGTGCATATCTCTTTTCTTATGGAAGCCTTAATTTTTCTCTAGAGTTAACATTTGCTATTGCTAACTTTTTTCTTCAAATGCTCCAACAACTCTCTCACTTTTCTATAATATTTGTGCTGAAGTTTATCAGTTCTTCTTTTTCCTCTAGAGGGAACATTTTCTTATAAAAAAATTCTCCATTATTCTATGGAGTATCTATACTGCAGTAATGCTTTGTAGTAGTTGTAGAATAGACCTTTACTATTGTCTTGGGATATACCTGTATAAATATTTTCTTTTTCCTTTTTGTTAAATTGAAGTAAAATTTGCCATTTTAACCATATAAAATGTTCAATTCAGTGACTTTTGACACATTTACAATATGCAACTATCACTGCTATCTAATTCTAGGATTTTTACCATTCTCAAAACAAAACAAAACAAAACACCTCATTCCCATTAAGCAATTACTCCTGACTCTGCTCTGCCTAGGTACTGACAAACACTATTCATTTCTGTCTCTAGATTAACTTATTGTGGGCTCATACAAAGAGAATTATACAAACTTGGGCCATTGCATCTAGCTTCTTTTACTTCTATAAAAATTTCAAGGTTATCCATGTTATGCCATGTAGTTCAACATTCCTTTTTTTTTGACTGAATAATATTCCATTGTATGAATTATATTACATTTTGTTTGTTACTCAGTTGATGAATATTTGGGTTGTTTTCACTATGAACATTTGTATACAAGTTTTTGTTTGATAACAGTTTTTATTTTGGGTATGTATCTAGAAACAGACTTACTAAATCATATGGTAATTTTGTGTTTAACTTTTTGAGGCACTGTTAAAATATTTTCCACAATGGCTATGTAGTTTCTATGTCCAGCAAACACAATACTAGGCTTGTAATTTCTTTACATTATTGTTTTCTCTTTTTAAAATTTTTGCCATCCCTTTTGCGGTAAGGAGGTATATCTCATTGTGGTTTTTGATTTTCATTTCTTTAGTAATTGATGATATTGGATGTAATTTCATGTGTTTATTGGCACTTGTATTTCATCTGTGCAATAAAGGTCTTTTAAAGTCCTTTGACAGTATTTTAATTTGTCAAAGGTTGTTTGTCATTTTGTCACTGATTTCTAAGGGTTCTTGACATTAGACTATTATCTTTTCTTCTCTCTTCCTCCCTCTCCCTGATACCCATATCCCTTATGCCCCCCAGCCCTGTGTGCAATATATTCATTCTGAATACTAATCACATAAAGATTTGCAAATTTTTCTTCTGTATCGGAACTTGTCCTTTCATTTTCTTCATAGTGTCTTTCAATATACAACATTTTTAAACCTTGATGAAGCCTGATTTATCTATTTTTATTCTTTTGTTGCTTATGTTTTTAATGTCATATCTAAGAAATCATTGAAAAATCTCAAGCCAGGAAGACCTATTTCCTTCTTAGAGTTTTATAGATTTTTTTTTAGATCTCATGCTTAGGTCTTGATCCACTTTGAATTAATTTTTATATATCCTCAGAGAGAATAAGTGCAGCCTCTTTTATGTGGATACACAGTAGTCCTATGACCACTTGTTAAAAATACTTTTCTTTTTCCATTGAATGGTTTGGAACCTTTGTTGAAAAACCTGTTGGCATTGGAATAGGTGTTTATTCCTGAGCTTTCAATTCTGTTCCCTTGTTCTATACATCTGCCATTGTGCTAGTACTGTTTTAATTATTGTAGCCTTGTGGTAGATTTTGATATTAGAAAATACAAATCCTCCAGCTTTGTTCAAGTTTGTTTTGGTCATTTGGCATTTTTTGCAATTCCATGTAAATTTTTAGGATTAGCTTTTCTATTTGTGAAATAGGCCATGACATCTTGATATGGGTATGGCATTGAACCTATAGATCACTTTGGGAGAAATGTTCCCATCTTAACAGTATTAACATTTTACATTACACAAAACAGATGTGTTTTTATTTAGTTCTTTGACTTCTTAGTAAAGTTTTACAGTTTTTAGTGTATGAGCCTCATATCTCCTTGGTTAAATTTATCCCTAAGTATTATAGTCAATATGTTTTTGAAGCTGTTACAAATGGAATTTGATGGGGGGGATTGTTCACTGATAATGTAATATAAACTTATTTTACTTGGGGATATTGCTATGAATTTATGGGAATAAAAATGTAAGAATATTAACTTTTCATTGTATGCTGTATTAGTCAGCACCCTATCATTATAACAAAATAACTGAGATAATCCTATAAAGAAAACATGTTTATTTACAGTTTGTGTATGGGGGGGGGGTGTTCTAATCCATAATTATTTTGCCTTGTTGTGTTTGGACTATTGGGGGTGCCAGATGACAGTACTGGACAACATTCGATGGAGTAAACTGCTCACTTCATGATCAGGGAGAAAAAGAGGAAAAGGAAGAGAGGCCAGCGTAGCATAATCCTCTTTCGGAACATGCCTCTCCCAAGGACCTTCTAAAGTTTCTACCACCTCCTAGTAATACTGCCCTGAAATAGTGCTACCCTGAAATATCATTGTTCTTTAACATATGAACTTCGGAATGAAACATATCTTAACCATAGCATGTGCCAAAAAGTTGGGTAATCTAGAAGAAAAAGAAAAAAGTAGTAGAAAGAAATTATTAAAAAAGTTACAAAAGTAACTCAAAGAATAAATAGAAAATCTAAATAAACCTATAGCAAGTTGGATGAGATTAAATCAGTAATTAAAAACCTCCCAATATAGAATAGTCCAGGACCAGATGACTATATTGTGAATTCTGCTAAATATTTATAGAAGAGTTAACATTAATCCTTCTCAAACTTTTCTCAAAAAATTGAAGAAGAAGAAACACTTCCCATTTATCCTGTGAGGCCAGTATTATCCTGATACCAAAGCATAAAAAGAGAAAACTACAGATAATATCCCTGTGAAAAAATATATATATACAAAAATCATCAGCAAAATAGTAGCAAATAAAAATTACCAACATAGTAAAAAGATAATACAACGTGACCAAGTGGGATTATTCTCAGGAATGCAAGGTGGGTCAACATGCAAATTAATAGTAATATACCGTATCAACAGAATGCAGGAGGAAAAATGCATTCATCTCAGTTGATGCAGAAAAGCATTTATGAAATCCAGCACCCTTTTCCAGATAAAACTTCTTAGCAAATGAAGAGCAGAGGTTCACAAGCAGGGAACAGATGGGAACTTTCTAAATACAATGCAAGGTATATATGAAAATCTAACACTAATATGCTCAGTGGTGAAAGACTGAAGTCTACTTTCTAATATCAAGAATAAGGGAAGGATGCCCACTTTTACCATTTTTTATTTAACATAATCCAGAAACAATTAAGCAAGAAAAAGAATTAAAAGACATTTAAATTAGAAAGATTGAAGTGAAATTATTTCTACTCATATATAATAAAATCCTAAATATAGAAAATCCTAAGGAATATTCGTTATCAGCTAATAAATTAATTCAACAGAGTTGTAGAATTGATTATCATTGTTCGTGGTTTTAATAATTGATTCATCTCTTTTTTTGTCTTAATCAGACTAGATAAAGGTTTGACAGTTTTTATCTTTTCAAATAACTATTGGTTTTGTTTATTTTTCCCTGTTAACTATTCTCCAATCTACATTTATCTCCACTCTCATCTTTATTATTTCCTGCGTTCTTCTAGCTTCTGCTTGACTTTGCTTTTCTTTTTCTAGTACTTTAATATATAATATTAGAGATTGCTTTGACATACTTTCTCTTTTCAGTGTAAGCATGTGTAGGTATAAACTTAGCTCTGAGCACTGTTTTGTCTGTATCCCATACGTTTTATATATTATGACTGTTTTTGTATGTCTCAAGTATTTTCTAAGTTCTCTATTATTTATTCTTTAATCCATTGGTTGTAAGAGGATGTTTAAATATCCACATAATTTTCTCTTTTCCCAGTTTTACTTCTATTAACTGATAACTAATTTCATTTCATTTTGGTCATAGAAGATATTTTATATAATTTCAATCTTTTTTAAATGTATTTTTTTAGATGTTGACAGACCTTTATTTTATTCATTTCTTTATATGTGGTGCTGAGACTTGAACCCAGTGCCTCACTCATGCTAGGCAAGCACTCTGCCACCAAGCTACAACCCCAGCCCCTAATTTCAATTTTTTTAAATTTATTGAGTCTGTTTTACAGCCTAACATAGCGCAAATGTGTTTTTTCCCTCTCAAAATTCCTGTTGAGACTTAATTTCCCAGTTTGATACTATTGAAGTGGTAGAGCCTTTAAGAGGGGTGAGTAGGTTTTAAGATGTGTTAATGATATCTCTCTGGACTTCTAGCTCCTGTGGCACTAGATTAGTACTCAAGACAGTAGATTGGAAAAGTGAGCCTGTAATGTCCCCTGCATCCCTCTAATGTATGTGTTTTGGCTATTTGATGCTACCTGCCATCTTCTAATGCATCCAGGGAGCCCATGCTAGACACCATGCTATTTGGACTTTCCAACCACAGGAATTATGAGCCAAGTAAATGTTTTTCTTTCTGTGTTACCCAGCATCAGATATTCTGCTGTATCAATACAAAATGGACTAAGACACTTAATAAGAATTTGTTTCCCTTAAAGCCACATTGTAACTGTCTTCCACAAATTTTGACATGGTGTATTTAAATTGTCATTCAGTTTAAAATTGCTTTAAATTTCCTTGTCATTTTCTAATGAATTTTTTTTGAAATGTACAATTTAGTTTACAAGTTATTTGTTTCTAAGTATCTTATTATTATTGATTTCTAATTCAATTTTGTTTTCAGAGAATATAGTCTATGTTATAGACTATATATATAGATGGAGCCTCTTAAATTTACTGAGACTTGTATTATGTCCTGGCATATAATCTGTTGACTGTACCATGTGTACTTGGAAAGAGCTTGAATTTTGCATTTGTTGGTATAGTTTCTTTACATGAAAGTGGTTGGTAGTATTTTTCATATTTATCTTTTTACCATTTTTTTGTGTCTAGTTCTATAAACTGCTGAAGGGGAGGGGTTTTATATTAATATTAGTGTGAAATTATTCCCTTTTTATTTCTCTTAATTTTTGCTTTACATGTTTCAAAACTGTTATTGGCACAACAGGTTGTAATGATCTCTTTGTCTGATATTTGTCACTCCTGCCTTGTTATTCCTAGTCTTTGCATTGTTTATCTTTTTACATACACTTTCAATTAAAACGTGCCTTTATATCTAATGTGTGTCTCTTGCAGACAGTATACAGTAGGGTCTTCTTTTTTTCATCCACTCTGTTAACCTGTAGCCTACAATGCAATAGTTAATGGTAGGGTTCAGAAAACTCTGGCTTGCAGACCAAATGGCTGTTTGTGTAAATAAAATTTTGTTGAAACAGAGCCACACTTTTCAGATATGTTATCTACGGCTGCTTTTGTACTAAAAGACAGAATTGAAGTTGTGACAGATTATATGGCCCCCATATTCTAAAATATTTTTTGTCTGACCTCTGACTTAGACCATTAACATTTGAAACATGATTGCTGATAGAGTTGGATTTAGGCCTAGTACCTTATTATTTGTTTTTTGTTGATATTTTCTGACTTTTATATGGTAGTTTTCCTTTTCTTCTTTCCTGCCTTCTTTTTAAGTGATTAATCTTTTTCAGTTTTATAATCTAGGGTTTATAACATAGCATCTGTGTAATATATAGCATCTAATCTTTCTACTTGTGATTAATATTGTATAATTTCTAGCATATTGGTGATGGTGCAACCTTGTAACCATCTGCAAATCACTTTAGTTCCCCACACTGTATATCTCTGTACTTTGAAAACCATACCTGACCATGTTAGAATTTTTGCTTTCATTAGTAACACATATTTTAATAAAATTTAACAAGAAAAATAATAATATGATGAAAATTATTTTTAGTGTCAATTGAGATTATATAGGTTCATTAAGGTTCCATTTTGGCAGGATGGAAATTGACCAATGGATGTTATTGCTGTTATGCTTTATAATACCCTATCATTTTACTAGACTTTGAGTAACCATTTGAAAAAAGTCCTACATTACCAATTTACTCAAACAATTCTCTTTCTTCCTTTCCTTCCTTAATTACTTGGCTTCCTTTCTAAGTAAAAGGGAAATTAGATGTGGCAGGTGCTTTTCAAACCTTTCTCCTTCTCTTTTGCATAGATGCTATACATGATTTTATAAAATAATGGATAGTTCAGGGACAATTAGAAAGAAATGAGCAAAATAGTGATCTAGAAGAGTTTTATTTTTTACAACATTACATTTAATGTTTAATATCTACAGAGAGAATTAAATACAGCAGAGATTTTCTGTTGAAGCTCTCAAGTGTTTCCATCTGCAGGAAAAAACCAGACTTTCTGCCTGATCATCCCATTGTACTTCAAAAACCAGTATGTAGTTTCCTGATTTTATATTGTAATATTGTATTCCAAGTTTTTGTCTTTAACATTTTCATTTTATCGTATCTGTAGATTTTTAACTTTTCTTACCGCAAAATATTAGTGGTCCAGCAAAACACAAAAAATCTAAATGTACAATGTAAAATAAATATCATTGTACTCAAGAACTAGAATGGAATAATTACATTTTTTTAGTGAACTATTTTTCTATTGAAAGATCATGAAAATATCATTCTATATTCTTAAAGTTCTATTTTGGTTTTCAATTAAGTTCTGTAATTCACTGTATGATATGAGGTGGGAGGGTCAAGTCTTTATTTTTTTCCCCCTCCTTGGATATCCAGTCATTCTGGCAATTTTTACTGAAAGGATAGTCTTTTGACACCAATATGGCAATATATGCATGGTCTCTTTGCAGACTTTTTAGTCTGTTGATCAGTTTTTAATGCGGTAAAACAAGTCATACCAGTTTTTTTTTTCAATGTGTCTTTGCTGTTCTTAGCTCTTTATATTTCTATGTAACGTACCAAATTCCATCAGAATAAATATATGCAATAAATATACATCTTTTAGGATATTTATTAGAAAGGACTTGGCATCATGTGTAGGTTCAGATTGTATCTCCACTCTGTGTACTGGAAGTTCAAACTTGGACAAGTTGCTTAATCTTCTTGAGCCACCATTTTGCAATTACAGATAAAGATGTCAACCCCTCCTAGTTAGAATTTAAGTATGAGTGGGCTTAGTATGATACCTCTCATTATGTGATCAGTAAATGATTTCTACCCATTATAGTCTCTACTGATGTTTGACTGAAATTTGACCTTTTAAAAAATGTTCTTATAGACACTATTTTATATAGGTAAGGGCAACTATGATTCTGTCCTGATTAGACTCACAATATAGGTGTACTGATAATGGCTCAAATATGAGACAGTACTACCTTCTGTTTCCAATTTGGGGATACTAACCCTTGGAAACCATAGTGTTTATCTCCTCAGTAAAAATATTTTTAAAGTTTTATATTGTCATAGTTTATATTAATATTTTGTAATTTAAACTCCATAATAGAGACCTCTTTCTATTCTTAAAATTAATTCAGTAAATTTTTAAAAAATATTTTGTTATAAATGGACAGAATACCTTTATTTTATTTATTTATTTTTATGTGGTGCTGAGGATCAAACCCAGTGCCTCATATGTGTGAGGCAAGTGCTCCATCACAGAGCTACAAATTAGTAAATATTTTTAATAATATTGCTCACAAAGGAATGTTTAATGAGGAAAAACGTAGTTGATGATATTTGAGTCTCCTCACCTATTCATATAATCCTTGGTCCATAAGAATAAACATAAACACAGTGCTATATAAAATAAATTTTTCATTTTCAGACTTTCCAATTTAAATAACACTTTTATTTTATAAATAAAAGTTTGACTTACACTTTCTTATGAACAAACATACATTAGAATAAAGTTTCCATTTATGCATTAATAACATTCATAAAACTAACTACTACAGAAACCCAAGAACAGATTTGTAATTCAGTTTAATATATTTAAAAATGAATTACATAGGTTTAGTGAAACAGAACTGTTTTTTTTTTATTTGACAATTTCAGTTACCTTAATAGTTTCTATAGTAACATGCATTTAGATCTGTAAACACTTAAGTGGATTCACAGTATTTGGTTTGATAAACTAATTTGTAAAAACTACTAAGTTAATCTAGTTGATGATTTAACTCTTTCTTCTATATTACAGGAAAACAACCAAAGTTTTAAGTAGCATTTTAAGAACAGATGAATATGAAGATAAAGAATTATTCGTTTTATATTTTGGACACCTGAAAATGAAGTGGATCTAGTAACAATAACTGTAATGGACTGTGACAATTCAATTTATTTTTAATTTTGATGGTTGGATATTTGGCTTCTCCTAAAATGAAAAAGAGATATTTTAATCTATAAAGAATTTTCAAATCAGTTTCAGCTTTGCAGGACGTTTCCTGCAAAAATTGGGAAATAACACTGGAAAGTAGGAATTTGGTTAGTGAAGTGGGAAGACTGTATAATTTGCATGCTACTTGCAATTTTTTGTTTTTCATCACTTGTAATAATGAAATGGAAATGTAAGCTGTAAAGATTCTCAAATATAAAGTATTTGCTACGATGTATATATGGTACATAATTTCTTGTTGCTTTAAAAGTTGCTTTTGTTCTGTTTTGCACTGATTTCCTACCAGCGCTTGAACAGATCATTACATTCTCTCCAAAGGCCTAGAATGATTTGGGGTGGGCAATATATAGTTGTCAATGACAGGAGGGAGAATTTTTTTAATAGACATTTCTTTTCAAATATATGATTGATGTCTAGGTTTTTGATAATAACATTGTCTTAGATTCGTAATTACTAGCAGAGATTGACAGTTTAAAAACAGTGGTAGTAAATGAAACTGAGGTTGAAAAATAGCTGCTACTGTTTTGGCCATGTGAACAGTGGAAGTTGAGCCAATTACAAAATAAAACTGATACTTTTATTTCCAAAAGAGGAAAAATTTAGGCATTTGAAAATAATTGAGGTGCATTAAGTTTCAATTCTATAATTTCTTATAATAGGAACATATATGGATACAGAATTTGGGAGTTTGAACTTTTAATAAGCCTTCTGCAGTTTTTCCACTCTGGATGTTACTGTTATTAAAAAAAAAAAGTTTCTCCCAGCATAGTGTCAAAAAATTTGCTGATCTAAAGGTAAGTATAAACTTTCCTTACGCCTATTTTCTCAGATCCCTGGGTCTGTTGATGTTTAAGGCCATCATTTGGCAGAAAATTTATCTTTCTCTAAATGTGAACTCCTAAAACCAGAACCTTTTCTTTAGTGGTTTTTGGGCTTGTTATTCAGATTCAACTTTTAGTCCATAGGTAGGTTTCCTATCTTGCTCTTTCAGTACCCTCTTTTTCATTATTTTGTTCCCCAGAAAAAGGATTGTTTTTTAAATAGGAAAAAAATACCCTTCATTAACCATAAATATATTGCTTACTTTTAAATGAGATATTTATTCTTAGGGCCCAGTTTTTTTTTTTTTTAATTTGTGTTTTGTCCTACTATTTCCTTTTATACTATAGGTCCAGTACACATGTGTATGTGAAAACACATACACACACACACACACCCATACACATATTTACACACTGACAAACATAGAAAAATGTACGTCTAAAAACTGGGGTCAGAATTACCATATAATTAAATTGGTTTGCTTTATTATTTTCCTATTCTCAAGTCCTTTACATTCTAGTTTTAAAAAGCTGGTAGAATGTATTCCAATTTGCAATCTAGAGAGTCTTTCTACTTAGCACTAGTATCAGGCAGAATCCTTTTTAGTCATACTTACCAAGCTACTTTGGAAACTGCCTCAAACCCAAAAGACTTGATATGCTTTTTGAGTTGGATACTGAAATGGACCAACCAAAGCAATGTTTTGATTTGTTGTTAATTGTATTTTTGAAACCATTTAAAACAAACATTTTCAAGAAGAGTTTGTATGTCAGAAGTCCCTTAAGTTTCAAAGTCTTGATCCTTTCTTACTACGTATAATCAGAGTAAGAGCACAAAGACTGTTTTATTATTGCCTTTGTACATATGTATAACTTGTTTGAATAATCATTGTACATCTCCATTAATGTTGTTCTCTGCTTTGTATATTTATTAAAAGAGTTGAGTCAGGTGTTGTTTCCTAGTGCTTGTCATCTTTAAAACTGACCAGAAAAAAGAAATAACCAGAGATGGACAGACAGACACACACACGTGTGCACATGCATGCTTTCTAGTCAAATTTTATATTTATGAAATAAAATTTTAATCTTAATTTACTCTCTTTTTCTTTTGTTTTTTTTTCAACAATTTTTAATTGAAAATAGGAAAATTTACCTTACAGCTTCTTTCCCTGAAGGCCCAGGATTTCAAAGGAATTTGGACTAAGAATAATATCATTCATTTCTAGTTGTATTGCATTTTTACATTAAATTTTTTTTACATTTTTTGTATTGCATTTTTAAGCTGGACTTATGATCAGAATAGGAGATTTTTTTTACTAAAAAGATTTAATTTCTAAGCTTTTGTAGAGAAGGCAATGTAAGATTCATAGTTTCAGTGTGGAAATTCTGCCCTGAAATTATTGTGCTTGTTTTATATTTCCTTTCTATTCATTTGAGTTAAAATTTTATTTTTAAAGCACTGTATTTTGAAACCCTGATTTAAATGTAAATATCTGTTTTTCATAAGAAAAGTTAACAATATGCCATAAAATTCGAGTCAGATTTTGCCAAAGTAAAACTCTTCTGTGCTTGATAATGTTTAACTTATGTACAGGGAATTATGAAGCTAATAAATGATACTATTGTGTTATATTACTAATTGGTTGCCTATCTTATCACAGAATTATACACTCATGAAAAACCAGTTTATAACCTGACGCACAAGTAGAGATTCTATAGGTTAAAGCCAAGGTTGTTTTATGCCAGTATTCTGACTTTTTAAGTAATGTGAAGAGAATAGTTATAGGATCATGTGTTGGGAATAGAGTAGATGATATTGAAGAATAAGCCTCACCAAGAAAATGTTACTAAAAAATAAATGGCTAGAGCATTGATGTAACCCTTTATACTGTAGGGCAATTTATAAAATCTATCCTATGAAGTAATATTCTAAAAGTAATGTTTTCAAAGGTTTTTCTTTGTAATTTCTTTTCACGACTTTATATATACTTTTTTCACACATTAGGATTTTGTCACTAGATGACTTTAGGTTGGTAACAATGTAGCAAAGCAATTACCATCAAATACTGAGAATTTTGAAAATTGAGCTAAAATACACACGAATGATACAGATTATACTTCAGAAGAGTGCACTTAAATATATTAAACAAAAATATACAGTAAATTAACAAACAAAATTTTCTAATTGACACTTTTGATAATAACACTTGTTTTGCACTTGGAACCATAAAGAAAATGTCTAGGAACATCTAGTTGTTGTTCAGGACCCACCATGAAGCTGAAAAGAAAAAAATATATAGTTTTTAAAATAATGAAAATAACTTTCACAGCAAAGAAAGTTCAAGTGGTAAAGGGAACATTCCCCCTACCTTTAGTCTGCCTAACTACTTATCTTCCTAGTCACCACTTCCAGACTCCTTCAGTCAAGATTGAATTCCCCATATGTTATCGACATTAGTATCACATCTTTTGGCACTTTGGTGCAGTCCCAAACTTTTTGTTGCATACAAATAGAGCTTGTCTTTGCAATGAGATTATAAATGCCCTGATGATAAAAATCATATTGCTATTTTAATCTACCCAATACTGACAGAATTAGGAAAGATACTTATATGTAATTTCAGAAAATCAAATTTAAGCAAGTGGAAGTGTTATAAGTAATATTTTTAGTATATTTTTTATTTTAACATTGGAAATGTTTTCCCCAATGAATATAAATATTCCAAAGACGAAACCAAAGCAAAGAAGTACGTACGGTTGGTGGAATGATATGAGAAACAAATAGAAAGGAATGAAATGTGCTTTTGAAGCTACATAAGTAATTTGCTGGCAATGGGATTTTGCTTTCTTATGATGTATCCTCTTGTCTCATAACTACAGACCTTTTTCTTATGTCAAGGAATATTCTGCCCCACAGACTGAGTTTTCAAGCCCCCCCCCCTTTTTTTCTGAGTGGTTTGTGATAGCTAATGTACCTGTACTGCTGTATTCCCGTTTGATTCATTTGACAGCATTTTGCATTTGAGTGTTCATATACATATATTTTCATTTACATTTTTATATCTGGATGCAGTCTGGTTTAGTTGCCTTATTTCTTGAGATGTATCTTAGGTAAATTAGTAATCTAATTAAAAAGCTATCTTATTAAAAGTCATAATTCTGAATTAAAAATAAAATCTCTTGTGTTTTTAAATGTAAATTTTTTCTTTTGGATTTTAATTTTGAGTCTAAATATGTGGATGGTAATATATATTTTGTTTTTATTAACCTTAAAAACCATGCATCACATAAAATGCACAAAACTGGTTATTAAAAATAGTATTAAAAATCAAGGCAATTGAAACCCATAACTAATGTTTATGTGTGAATTCTAGATTTTTGTTCAGGGACGTGTCCTGCTGTTGTAGCCATAAAACTTTAATTTAGTTGGGCACGGGGATGCCCTCCTATAATCCCAGTGGCTCAGTAGGCTGAGGCAGGGGGATTGCAAGTTCAAAGCTAGCCTCAGCAAAAGCGAGATGCTAAACAACTTGGCGAGACCCTGATGACTTTAGAGAAATAAAATACAAAATAGGGCTGGGGATGTGGGTCAGTGGTCAAGTGCCCCTGAGTTCAATCCCTGGTACCCCCCCAAAAAACAAAACAAAACAAAAATCTTTAATTTGAAAATAGAGTGGACTGCCCCATTAAATGTTAGTCTTGTTGAGTTAGATTTAAAAATTGTATTAGAAAAGCCTGACTTATTTTTGATTTATATCAAATTCCAGTTATCATTGTTGAAATTGATGGGATATGAAAATAAATGCAAATACAGCAGCAATTAAAAGGCATCAAATTTTACTGAATTTTGTTCAGAGAACAAGAATTGATCCAGTTTTATTTGTGCTCAGTTTTTCTAAGTTAGGAAATTGAAAGAGGATGGAATTTATGAACCACTGACTAATAATACACAGAAAGTTAATCCAAGGTAATGATGAAGTGATTGAAGTTGGGCCAGAAAAATTCAGATTACTCTGCATTTCCAATAATTGCAAATAGCATCCCCCTCAACTGTTAACTCAATAGCCTCCCTTCCTATACTCTTTTTCTACTTGATTTGTGTTCAGGTATTTTCTGATCTAGAAGGACTTAGGACACCATTAAGAACAATCTTTGTCCCTTCTTTCTGTTTTGCTGAACCAGTGGTTTCAGGATTGAGAGAGCTGAAAAATGAATATAATGGCAGATACAAAAATGACAAATGTAGAACTTTTGGGAATTTTTTTTTGCCAAAAAACAGTGCATTTATGATTATGTAAAAGTCCATATTCATTCCTTCACTTAGGAAGCATCTTTGTTTTTGTGCTATACACAGTACTAATACTGTACTAGAATAGGTGATATGAAGATAAACAAGATATAGATCTAGTTTTCCTGCATTCTTTTACAAAGGCTGCAGCAGTCATGTTTACAGATTTAATTTGTGTTCTAGGCCTTTGAAAATCCCCACTTAGAATAGACTGTTCAAGCTGGAATAAGCTAAAGCTAAGCTAAAGCTAAGCTAAAGCTTTCTTTGATAAATTAAAGGCAGTCACTGAAATCTGTTCCTTAATAATTTGCAGCTTTGCCCACCTGCAACCTTTCTTCAAGTTGTGGTGCCCTTTAATAGAAACTGCATGAGTCAAAGTGTCCATTCAACCATGTCAGACATTTTAACCATATTTATAACTTTCTTATTGGAGGATTAAATTTCAGCTCTAAAGTGAGGGAAAATTCTACAAGCCTACCATTTTCTAGCCAGATAGACCCATGCTTAAGAACCAGAGTAAATGCACTCCTAGCTCAGGCTCAAACTGTAAGAGCCAATGTGCAGCCACTCACACCTAATTTCCTTGTATCCTCACCCAGCTCTAATTCCAGATTATACTTTCCTCACTTTTATTTGTTCCCCAATTCATCAAAATCTGTCATTTAAAATTCTTGCCACTCTATTAAAATTACTCTTGTAAACCATGATCTTGTCAAATTCCATCTTTAGCCCTGTTTTCTTAATCACTCTACATGCTCCCAAGGAGCACGTAAACTTGCATTTCAGTCTTCTATTGACAGCTTTTTTTTTTTTTTTTTTTTGGTACTGGGGATTGAACCCAGGGGCACTCAACCTCTAAGCCACATCCCCACCCCACCCCCCTTTTTTAAAAAAATTCTATTTGGAGATAGGGTCTCACTGAGTTGCTTAGGGCCTTGCTAAATTGCTAAGGCTGGCTTTGAACTCCAGATCCTCCTGCCTCATCTCCTGAGCAGATGGGTTACAGGTGTGCACCACTGCACCCAGCCTATTGACATCTATTATTACTCCATCTATTCTCCTCCTTTGATTGGTGCTCCTCAGTCTTCTGAATAAAAGAGGTTTTTCTTTCTCTACCAGCCTTTTACAGAAAGGCATTTTCCCAGGTTTCTCTTAGATATTTTGTTTTTAGTCACATACTTTCTCACCACAACTGGAATAAGCTAAAGCTAAGGCTTCAACCTTCAGTCTTGTGGGTAACTTGTGAAAACCTATCTGCAGGTGAAGTCCCAAACTTTCCAGTAGCACCTAGTTTGGGTGCTCTTCTTTCCTGGGACAGATCGTTGCCCGACCTGATTAATTTTTCTTTGCCCCACCTGATTAATTTTTCTTTGCCCCATGATGTCCGTCTGTCTTTGTTCCCATCAGATAATTAGGACTATTGTCTGTCTCAGAAATTTTCAATGGTTCTAATTACTGTTCAGATACTTCATAACATATTCTCAGCCTAAAATTCAGACTCTGTCTTCCTTACAAACTGTTAGATAGGTAGTAATCAGTCTCCAAGTTCACAAAGCACATTATTACCTCTAAAGGTAACTTCTATTTTATGACCCGAACCAGGTTTTGTCCTGCAAACAATTCTCTTTGCAGATATTCTTGTCAGACTGGACAGAGCACTTTATAGGTACTCTCTCTAGCTCCCAGCACAGTGCTCATTCAGAATTAGAGCTCAATCATGCTAGTAAATAGACTAGGCACCCCAGTAATCCCAGTACTAAAGTGCATATCAAATTTGTGTATATTTGATAATTGTGAATGGATGGGTAAGATTAACAAATGAATTTTTTGTTCTTAAGTAAAATTTGACCAGACTTTTTAGACAATTTTATTTCAAACCTTCCCTCTTTCTTTCCTCCAGTTCTCCTTTCCCCCAACTGCAAAAATTATTTAAAGTAATTCTATTATAATAAAAATATTTCTAATATCTAGCCTATGGTCACTTATTTTTAATTGTATTTAAAATTATAATAATATAATTATAGTATGGTAAAGCATTTGAATAATTTTTTTTAAATGTCATGATTTTTTGACTAGTATTTCAAGATGAACAGTTAACCAGCAAACCACTAATAATAGGTTTAATATAGCCAGCAATACAAATAGGGCCAACTAAGAACTAAAGGCAAGCAACAAATACCTCCTCTTCCCTCTCCCAATCCCCAATTATAACATATATAAAGAAACAATAAAGAGAATACCATTGACAAAGTGTAATGGGAAAGAACATACTATTTTGAAAAACATAAGACAATACATAAGGACACAAGAATTTTGAATCCAGTATAATTACCAGGAACTAGCATAGTAGATGTGAGTTCCGGAGTTTCCAAGAAATCCACGTTACTTCTTTGGAATGTCTTGCTATAATTCGTCTGAAGGTGGCTGTATAAATGATTACAGGTTAAAGCTCTGTATTTTTATTTACAACCTTCCTAAATAGAGTACAGCAGAGGTCAAATTCAATCAAGATGGTAAGCTTTTGATTGATGTGGATAAGGAAGTAATCTGGATAGAGACTTTTTAAAATGGTTTTTTATGCTTAATAAAGACAATAGTAATTTAATAACTGTCATGAGAAATCAAGAAGATAAAACAATGGGAAGTATGATTTCTGCAAAAATTTTTAACATAAGAAAGTATTTTGGCCATACTGGTGTTTAAAAAATAGGATAACTAAGAAAAGGGGGTGATAATTTTCCATCCACTGAGAATAAAATGAAATAAATGAAAACCATCTATTGCATAGTGTAGGCCTGGAATCATGGAATTGAATAAATTGCTTTTGACTCCCTTCTACATTGAAACACTAAAATACTATTGGTATAGTTTTGCTTTCATTATAGCATGAGTTTTTTTGTTGTTGTTGTTTTGTCTGCAGTGCTAGGGATGGAACCCAGGACTTGCTAGGCAAATGATCTGCCACTGAGATATTTAACTTTAGTCCTTAAAAATGCTTTCTTTTGAATCCATAAAAATAAAATTTCAAGGTGAAATATGTATCAACTGAATTTCCAGGTGTTAATTAATTCCACTACTATATTTAATACCCTTACAACATGGATTTATTGGAGAGCTGTATCTTCTATACCATTTAAAACCATCTGGAACTGTTTATATCAGAATAGCAAAAAATTTCTTTTATTCCATTTTTCAAATATACATTTATTATTTATCGGTAATCATTTTCAATTAAAAATTAATTTGTTTTTTATCTTTGCCAAACAGTGTCTTGACTTTTCCCCTTTATTTGTGGTATTTAAAGACATCTGGGAAAATTATGATGGTCTTAGCCATTTAATGTAGTTTTATTATAAAGTAATAACCAAAGAAATTATGAAGCTCCAATGTCATCATCATCCCCACCTTCCTTAGACACCCCTGCGCCTATCAAATTATTCTTGTCTGAAAGCATCAAGTTTTTTTGTTGTTTTGTCTGATGGTAAAGTGGAGGTCAATACCAGAAGTATCTGTACTTAGAGGGAAGTGTTTTCCTGTTCACCAAATAAACTCCTGTAGTGTGGGATTCAGGGTAAAGGTCAAGACTTTTTAAAGTGAGAAAAACAGAACGGAGCTTTTCTTACAAGTCTCAAAATTTCATCATGTATATAGTCACCTCCCTGGCTTCACAAAACAAATTGGCCTTGCTTAGAACTTACCTATTCCACACGCTACTGTTCTCCCAAAACTCATAAATCATATAGCGGGGTTCATTTGAAAGCTTCTGTATAGAAATACTGAAGAGGAAAAGAAAAGGCATATTAGTTGCTGGAATCAAACTAATTTTTCTAATCATCTCTAGGTGTGTTATGAAACAATCGTCCATTTGTATAGGTGCTTGCAGAAAATAACAGTCTACATTCTGGCAATAATTGCTTTTTCAAATTGAAGATAAATTTGTTCCTTCCAGATCTTTGATGATCTTGAAGGTGGATCAAAATCTATAATATGTTTTAGAGGCATGAAGAAAGGAGTCTAACCAAAAAGACAGGCTGTGGATTTAATCTTGTAGCAAGGAGGAGCCACTAAATGAATTAGAGGGAAAGTGCCACAGTTGCAGTTGTGTTTTAAAAGATCCTGCTGATGGCATTGTGGGGTATGAATGAAGAAGTCATGCAGGTAGTGAAATAGCTTAGGTGAGAAGTGATACAGATTAAAATACAGAATAAAGAAGGGACACATTCATAAACTCATGAGTGGGAGATAAGATGTCTTTAAAATCTTACAGTACAGCTTTTTTAGCCTAATGTTTCATCATGTATTCCAGAAGTATCTGTGAAAAGCAAAATGAGGGGTTTGGAAAACAAGAATTTTGAATTTACCAGTAAAACAGTTAATGTAGATTTAGGATTTACCCAAGTGTGACCAGCAGGTGGCAGTAAACACACACAGAAATTTTATCACTTGTTCCCCTTTAGTTTTGCCTGTACACATGTTTTTTTTTTTATAGTTGTTTATCAATTTGGTTCATTAAGGTATGATATAGCCAATATTGTTATTAGTGCTACTTTAGATTTTTCTCATCAAAGCTTTACTAGAGGGTCATATGCATTGAATTAAAAATGAAATTTGTGACTTCCTCATCCCAAGAATTTATGAATGAGCTCTTTGCTGGGAGGATTTCTTAAAATTTCTGCAAATTAATGCACACATGTGCTTTTGTCTTGGGGAGGGAGTCTATAACTTCATCAGAGTCTTAAAAAGGAGTCTGTAATTCCCAGTCATTACTTAACAATTATATAATGCACACATTTTAATCCATGTCTATTTGCTTTAGGATAAAGTTTAAAATACTCAGCCTCATATTTCGGCTCTTCGGTTGCCTCTGAAAACTAACTTATTACACTGAAAAACCCACTTACCATACTATCTGAAACTTTCATTTTCTGGACTAGCCATGAGACTATAAGAAATTCACAAAATTTTATCATAATGAAGTTTTTGAAGGATTAAAGATATCACAGTGTGATATGGTAATGGTTCAAAGAATGGCCCAACGGAACTACCACTCTTCACTGCTGATTAGCTATGTCACCTCAAACCCATTACTCAACCTGTTTCCTCATCTGTGCTAATGGTTTTATGAGGCTTATAGGACCCTCCCCTTCCTCTCACCTGCCTCCTATCTGTGTGTGTGCCCTACCTAAATTCACAGGGCCTAACTAATGAAGAACAGACAATAGGACACTCTCCTCACTTCTCCATATCAAGCTCAGGTCACCAGTTTATTTTATCTACCTACTGATGAATGGTTAATTGTTTTATGCACACCCATTAGTTCTTAAGGATGTCTCAGGGTTGGTTGGTACAATATAATCCACATTCATGACATGAAATTTTGAACACATTCAAGTTCTAGAACTTTTTAGCTGAGAGTGACTATGGAAATCATTTTGTCTAGCAATTATGAAACTTTAGTACAAGAACATGGTTTTCATTGTTCACTGCCTTCATAAATGGAGATTAGATTCTAAGATCTTTGAAAGCATAAACTTTCATTTTCTGGTGTCAAGCTGGTTTTAAGAGTATACCATGTATACCACATTTCCTCAACACCAAAACAGGGATTGAACAGCTTTAGTGATTACAAAATAAGTGATGAACAGCATCAGATTTGTGCGTGTGTGTGTGTGTGTATGTGTGCACACATATGACACATGCCTGTGTGTGTTATACACTGGTTCATACAAATGATGTGCTTCTGTGCTGAAGTCTTTCACTAACAGCTTTCTAAAACCTCAATTGACTATTATGACAAAGCTTCTGTCAATTCTCAAACATCCAAGTCTCCTAGTCAAATATGTAAGAGGCAAAAATGTCTCTAATTCATTTGCCTAAATTTAAGAAAGCAAGACCTTGTAGTAATTGGGACAGGAAGGATATAGTGTGTTCTACCACAGTTTAAGAATATTTAAAGATGACCAAATGTTGACAAGTATTAGGTTTCAAAGTCAGACAAACTTGGGCAACTTGTTTAACACACATGAGCTCTGTTTCCTTCTAAGCTAGATGGAATATATACCTCTGATGATTGCTGGGAAGACTTAAGTCAATGGATACAAGATGCCAAATCTTGTAAGTCCTACATAATTTCTATTGTATATGATGGCAGCATTCCATGTCTAACCATGGTGAGACTAAGCTAAATACTATGAGAGAAGAAACTGCAAAACTCTGATAATCCACCGAGCTTTATTTTGTTGGCTAAATACAAGGCAACTGAATGGGGCCCATGAAGCACAACTGACGGCATGAATGGCACTTGACTTTTCATCAATTGATACAGGTAGGGTATGGAATTTGATTAACTGGGACAGCTGAAAACTTAACTTTAGACAGGCACACTGGCATAATGTGTTCCCCACGTATTCCATTGTGTATGGTAATTCTCTGATGCTCATTCCATCTGATAGTCTACACTCTAGTAATTCCAGTCAAAGGAAAATTAGCTGAAGCATCAGCAATAAGAAGTGAATGGAGAACCATTAAGAAACAAACCAGTTTTGCAAAGGAAAAGGAGAAGCTGAGTCAATTTATCTTACAGGAAAAGGATGCTCTCTTTCCCTCTCCTTCACAGCAGGAGCTGATGGAGCAATTTTTCATGGTTATTGAGAGAACAGAGTTTGCAGCAGGCAGCAGAAATCTATCTACTCTCTCATACTCCCACAGTCTGTTTTCCTCTCCCTGGGGCCATTCTGGTGACTTCAGGTCATGTTCCCAACACACATTAATACAGTACTTTTGAACCTTAAAAAATGAATCTTGTGCCCTTTTTATAATTGTAAAACATCTCATCAATCCCTGGAGACTGCGATACACTGAAAAGGACTTACCTTCTTCATATCCTTACTAACCAAAAGAGAGTTTACTGAATTCTGCTTTCTGCACTTTACACTGTGGAAAGTATACATGGCCTCCTTTTGCATTTTCCAAATATTTGATTTTAAAAACTGTATGTATGTCCACATTGGTAAATATCTAGTTACTTAACTAAAAGGACTAGAATTGTGGTTTTTCATTTGTGACATTCTGAGACTGATGTGAAGTAGGATAACACAATAATGGAAGCTCAGAATTTCCTGTGTCTTGTAATAAAAGGACTGCTGGGGTGATGGGAGCTGTTAATGACACTGAGAAAATACTCAGAGGGATCAGCACAGAAACAACAGTACAGTGACCCTGCTCATGTTCCATGTCTTCAGTGGTGGGAGGCATGGAACTGAGCACATGGACTATCTCTCTCCATGCTCACAGCCATCTCATGGGGCTCTTCATGAGAAAACTGAGGCTGAGAGCCAAGAAGGATATTTTCCCAAATCACAAAACTAGGGCAATCCTATGTTTAATTCCAGAGCCAGATTTCTTAGCTGGGAAAGTATTCTGCTGTAGTATGAATAAAATATAATTAATCACCGGAAAGAAAAGAAAAGCACCCAGAGACAGAAAGTACGTGTTTATATGCACACACACTCAGATGCACACCCACATAAACACACATCTGCTGAAAAGCTTCCCCCAAGCAATATTTGAAGAGAATTATGAAATGCGGTTTAACAGGCTCACAAGGTAGGGGTAAATTTGGGTGAGGAAGTTTTCTAAATGCAGGTGAGTTGGGGCAGTATTCTGAGCTGCAGACAGAGCACAGGCCTACAGAGACCTGCAGCTGGGTGCACAACTCTGGAAGGGTGAGTGACCAGATCTAAGGCACAGTAAGAATGAACAGATTATGCTGGAAAGTCAATGGTCAGCCACACAGTTATAGGTAAGACAGAGTGTTTTAGGTAAGGGGAACAATTGATGGCAGTGATATGGATTTCTGGGTCTGTGGACGGGGTAAACATAAGGTCAGGACAAACAGCATTTGATAAGAGTCTAATATTTGTTTGAGAGTCACTGCAGGTTCCTGATTAAGGAAATACTGTAACTGCTTTTGGGAAATTATTTTAGTAGCTGTTTATTGGGCTGATTGGAATAGAAAAACTCAAGATGAGTGATAGTGTATTTTAGTAGCCTCAGATAACAGAAGCCTGAGCTGAGTAGTGGCCGTGGAAAGAAGAGAGGAAAAAGCCACTGCTGCTTTTGTGAAATAATCAAGATCTACTCTCTTTCTTCCCCACACAGTCTGCTTCCCTCTCCCTGGGCCTCTTGCATGGCCTCAGAGACCCCTGCAATTTCACGATGGTGGAAATAGTCATGAATCCACAGGGCATGCTACATTCAAGGCTTGATGCCTCCGAGTTGAGACCACATCTACAGAGGTGAAGTTAAATGAATGTTGGCTGAATTTCAGTCTATTTGAAACTCCTCATTCAAATAGTTCTCCATCTGATGTCCCTTGATGCCCTTAATGATTAAATCAAAGCAGGGTCCAATGATCAAAAAGAAAATACCCAGTTAAACTCTGCAAAGGGCATTACCCAGAGGGCTGGAGACTCAGCATAATTTAAAATAAAGATTTTCAAATGCTTGTCTTCTGGGCTGCACCCTCATCTAAAGTGGGAAAAGCTTTCACCTGGCTGGGCAGGGTCAGTCAAGGTCCTGTGCAGGGGCACTTACCGCAAGCAGCCACTCTGGGCGGAAGCACTCTCCACGTAGTGTTTCAGAGCCAGCTGGAATTCTTCCAAATCCTCTTCTATCACAGACATCTGACGCTGCACGAGCATGATATGCTGGTGAGGAAAGGGAGAGGTTACTGAGGTGGCTGTCAGAGCCTCATTCAAGCTGACCCCTGATGTCCATCCTACCCTCCTCACAAAGCCAACAACCATCATGCAAAAGTGTGACTGAGGAAGCTCATGACCATGAGTGTTTTAGGTAAGGGGAACAATGGATGGCAGTAAAAAATTATAACAAGGCTGTAATATAGGGGGATTTTTTCTTGCCTTTAGTAACAGAAGGTAAAGAAATAATGCATTTTCCTTTTAAAAGCAGTGATGCAATTAGGATCATTGGGAAGATTTTAAAATTACTTTTATATCAGAATTTCTGGAATGGGACCCAGGCACTGATATTTTAAAAAGTTATCTAAGTTCTAATGTGCAGCGAGGATGTAAACATTGGCCTAAAGTCACTTGTGTAAATAAACAGAGAAATCCTATTGCATGCTGCATAGTTCCAGCTTCTTGGATTTTATGATATTAGACATATTGTAACAATCATCACCAACAATCAAATTTCAAAAACAAGTGTTTACTGATGCATTTGCAATGGTGCATCAACTATTAACAGGGTTCTCAAACATATAACCCACTTACAAGAGGTCCTGTTCAAAATGCCATGACATTACATAGAGGCCCTGTTTAATGGATCACATTGGGTTGGATGCCACCTGTTTCCATAACATCCTATTACCATTACAGCAATTGTAGTCTGAAGATTTGCCTAAAGATCTGCCTGGGTACTTCTAATGGAATTTTAGATTTCAACATTAGCCCTTTCTTTTTCTTCAAGGTTTGGAAAAAAAATATGAAAGTACAAATAAGTATAAGAATTGGCATCAATCACAAAAGTAAAAAATTAAAAACAACAATGCAAATCTTGAATATAAAGAAAATCACTTTCAAGGTATTATCAGCCATTTAGCATAAGAGCTAGCATAAACCCCTGGCCTATTATCTCCCATTTCAGTGAATTTATCACTTCATGTTAATAGCTATTTGTTGAACACCATTTTTACTGCAGTCACTATGTTAGGCATGCAGTGCATTTCAACAAATGTTTCCACTTTGTGACAGGTAAGTAGGTGTTGGGTTCTGGGTGATGGATCAAGATAGAATCTCATCCTCAAAGGGCTTAGTAAAAGAATAAACCAGGCCAGAAAACTTAAGTAATAACATTAGGTGTGGTAAATTGCAAATTGACCAGAAGTATACCAAATTTTTGAGATGATTGTGTTGTTAAAGATTGAGCTCAATCTTAGAATTCTTTGTCTGTTCATGCCTTAATATTATGTTTGGGTCCCTGGGTATATAAGAGCAGTAAGTTGGCTATGAATAAAGCATCCCCACCACCACCAAGAGGGGTAGTTCTCCCCAGTGGACTGTTTCAGATGGTCATGGAGGATAATGGACCAGGAAGAATCTTTGGCAGTAAGAACAATGCAGCAGGGGTCCTCCCAGAATAGAGATCCAGTGTCTAATCAGAGAACTCCCCACTGAAAAATACCTTCCCAGCATGAATTCATCATTGCAATCAACCAGTGAACGCTCTGTTTCCCATTCATCCCTTTTCTGAATGGTAGTTTTTATGAAATTCATCATGGCCCAGTTTTATCATTGTGTATTCTCTCTCTCTCTCTCTCTCTCTCTCTCTCTCTCTCTGTGTGTGTGTGTGTGTGTGTGTGTGTGTGTGTGTGTGTTGTGGGGAGGGATAACTTACCTTGTTCTTCATTAGTTTGTCAGACCTCAAGGGACTGCATCCTAACCTTACAAAGAAGATTAAACATCATCCAAAGACTAGATTTTGAGCTAGAAACAGTAACAGTAGGAAACTTTGGGTGATCTCCCTCGAGGAGGGGTCTGTATGTGCTCTGTATGTGAAAAGAGGGATGCAAATGAATATTTGGTGATCAGAAGGTGCAACGTGTCAGATTCCAAGTATGCTCATTCTTCTTTAGGTGTGCTGCTGGACTCTGTATTACATCCTTCCCAGCAAATAATAATGTAATTGTTTGATTGTAATCTGGTCACCAGACATACTGTGTGCTACCGTTGAGCCAAGATGTGAGGATGAGAGCCTCATCTGTATTCTTTTCTTTCCTTTTTGCTGGATGGATGAAGATCTAACTGAGGGATGGGCTAGCCACAGATCAGAGGACCTTGGGAGCTCTGAATTATTTTGTGGGCTGTTTATTAGACAAGGAACAAACTTTTGTTGTATCAGAACCATTCTCTGTGTTTGGATCCATTTATTTCCAAATTCTACTTGGATGGGTTCAACAAGTTAACTAAGCTTTGTTTAATTTTCTTTCAGGATCAGGGATTAAGATCCAGAAAATACAAGCCTATAATTATCTCCTAATGTTTTGTGGTAAACAATCTGCCCCCGTGTAAACTCTCCCAAGCCCTGGGTTTTAATATTAAGAACTAAGCAGAGTTAAAGTTAATCTCTGCAAAAATAATGTGAATATGTCCTTTGCAAAGAAATCAGCACAGATTTCTTAGTTAGGCATTTGTGATTAATAATGATACAGCTGGTTCTCATGGGCTTTCCTAATGAGATATATAAATATATCCACCAAACCACCATAATTCCTTTAATCTGAAGGCAATACTTATGTGATCCATGAGATGGGCTGTAAAAATGGCCGGAATCATTTAATATTCAAAGAGTTGAACCCAAGCCCTTTGAAGTGTGAATTTCCTGCTTCTGTCATTAAGACATGGATTCTACCCCCACCCCTTAGATCTGGGTTAGCTTTCTAAATGGCTTTGGCTGATAGAGTGTAGCAGAACTGACAGTGTTCCAGTTTCAAGTTTAGTGTCCAAGAGACCTATTAGTTTCTACTCTTTCTCGGATCTCTGAGACTGTCATGTGAACAACACCTGCCAGAAGAGGGATCAGGAAACTTTTTCTGGAAATGGATAGATAGTAAATATTACCTGTTTCTTGTTGTAATGATATGGATCTGCTTTTGTAGTGTGACAGTATATAAACAAATGGGCATGGTTGAATTCCAATATAACTTTATGGACAAAAACAGGTGGTAGGCTGCTATTTGCCAACCCTGGTACTAGAGAATTAACAACCACACAGAGCAGACCAGAGACCCTACATATATGAGAAAACTCCATCAAGATCAGCAAAACCGATGTGCAGCTGACTATAGATACCTAAAAGAGGCTATTGAAATCATATGAACCATCCCATTGATCTCAGGTTAGATTTTTAACCTGCGAAATTGTGGTTATTGTTTTAAGCCATAAAAATGTTTAGGGTGGGTTATTATACAGCAATAGCTAACTGATTTTCTCATTTACACATATTGTTGAGAGTATGATTTGGAAAATTTAAACACTTGGCTTCTAGATTTTACTTTGCATCCTAAACAAGTCATATCTCTGCCTTCCATTCCTCAGATTTTTACACAAGACATAAATTTGTGAGGCACAGATAACCTGCCTAAGTTTGACTTTTTATAAATGGAGCCTTTTTATTAATATTTATTTTTTAGTTATAGTTGTACACAATACCTTTATTTATTTATTTTTATGAGGATCGAACCCAGGGCCTTGCACATGCTAGGTGAGCACTCTACCACTGAGCCACAAACCCAGCCCACAAGCAGAGCCTTTTGAGTTGTGGGTTATGAGGTTGGGAGATACAGGGAAAGAATCCTGCTGTCTTATTGGCATTTTGGAATATCTCCTCTGTCAAATATACAGCCTGAAAGCTTATCAAAGTCTGGTATCCCAAGATACCAGTGCTCTGGTATCCCAGAGTACTCTTCCATGGTAAGATATTCTTTCATGATGCTACATTTTTGCTTCTCTGCTATAGAACGGTAGTATACCTTTATTGTTTACCTTATGGAAATTTGTTGCACTGGAAATATGATGAAATGCTTGGAATTTCTTGAGCTTAATCTGTGTTTGCAGAATTGTACTTGCCATTAGCATAAGGCATCTGCATTTTTCAGGAAATGTCACTTGTTTTAATCTTGGAAGACAGATATCTTAAATGCAACTTACTTTTTTTTTATGTTACTGGCTCTATTTACTACACTTAAAATTGTGTTCCAAGTATGTCTTCAGAGTTATCACAACCTTTCCTGTAGCTTCTAACTGAATCTTTTAACAAATATTGCAAAGCAAGACCATGTTTTGATAGCCCCCAATACGTTAGCTGGCAATAGCCCCAAACACTTAAGGGCTATGGTGGAATTAATTAACTTCACAAGACATTATATACTGGCTTGATAAGGGTTGTGAGGCACCAATAAATATTAGATTTGTAGACAGACTTGTACCAGTGATAAACTCTTTTAGTGTAGACAGCAATGTGTAAAGAAAAGTTTGAGTTTCCTAAAAGCATAAGAATGTGCTTGAACCTTGCTTAAAATCATCATAACTTTTAAAAACTCCTTTTGAATATAGAACATATCTGGAAAGTGATCATCATGTCCCAAGAGTTCTTTGGTAAGAAGTGCCATACAAGGCACACAATGGAAATAGGCAGAAAAGATCTAGGTAGATCAACTGGCTAGACCCCAGTGATTGTTCTGGTTGGAGGGATTCCTTTAAGAAACTCACCTTTACCTCTAGTTGATTCATACCTACTGCTTACTGCTTGACATCTTCAAGACTATAAACTATCCCTAAATTTTCAACAAGTATTAAAATCATGGCTTAGGGACCTTTGGATTCAGATTTCTCCCTTATGTATGTTTATTTCCTATTAGGCTATAGCAAAAATAATATTGTGAAGCAACAAAGTTGTGGTCTTTATAATATATGTACTTTTAATAATTTGGAACATTTTTATGGTTTTATATATCACTATAGTGTTCTTTTGGTACAATGTTAGAACAAGTCAATGTGATACATACACATACCTATATATCATTTTTCAAAAATCCCACATATTCTTTCTGGTTTCTGAAAGCATTCTCTGGACCCCTAGTTTAGATTGTGTCTTCCTGCTGTGCAAAGCTATACCTCTCCATAGCAATTTTCATCACATTTTAGTACAGATTCTTTTTTAATTGCCTGTATTTCCTTTTAGTTTGTTTCCCAGACCATAATATTTACCATTTTATCTGCAGATCCTCTCACCAGACCTGGCACATAGGTGGTGGTTCAAGTTATTTGTGGAACAAAGAAATAAAAGATTCTTTTGCTTTTCACCATCAACTACGATTGTGTAATTAATTTTATGTATTTATTCATTCTAGAAGAGAATTTGAGGTGGCCCTGAAAACTCAAGGGCACTGCACAATTTCTATCTATCCCCAGCATCTCATCCTTTCTCTCCTATTTTATTTCTCAAGAGAAAGAGGTATAACTTAAAAAGAATTGGCTTCACTTTTACCTTAAACAAGTTACTTAATCTTTCATCTTAAGTCTTCTGATACATAAAATTGAAATAGTGGCATTTATAGCACAAAGTCTGGGAAGATTAGATAGAATAATGTATACAAAGATCTTGTCCGTAACAGGTTTGCAGTAAGTGTCACTTCCCTTTTTCTGTGCTGAGGAAAAAAAAATAAGTAGGCTTAAAAAAATAAATCATATCCTAGACTCATCATTATATAATGGTTCATTGTTCAGAACACTAGGTATGGCAGCTGCTAGGGTTCAGGACTATGTGTTCAAACAAGCTTACTGATCTGCTCTCATTTGGGAAATCTCATGGAACTATCCTGTTAGTTGGCAACTTCACTAGCAAAGAGCAACTGCACTGCACTTGAGTGGCTAGAAATCTACTGAACACTTGGGTAGGAAGTGAGACGAGGGGGTGATGAGTGTAGGTGTTGGACAGCTGGGGCTCAGCTCTAGTATTCAAGCCTCTCTGGACTTTAATTTCTTCATCTATAAACTGAGGTCAACCATAACGGCACCTCATTCAGCCACTGAGAGCACTGAGAGGATTAAGTGAGGTGTGTGTGTGTGGGTGGTCGGCCTCAAATTGGCACATAGTAAAAGCTCAGTGAAGATTAGCTTTTAAGAAACAAAATGTTGGGGCTGGGGATGTGGCTCAAGCGGTAGCGCGCCCGCCTGGCATGCGTGCGGCCCGGGTTCGATCCTCAGCACCACATACATACAAACAAAGATGTTGTGTCCGCCGAAAACTAAAATAATAAATATTAAAAAAAAAAAAAGAAAGAAACAAAATGTTGCCGGGCATGGTGGTGCATGCCTGTAATCCCAGCAGCTTTGGATAGTGAGACAGGAGGATGGAGAGTTCAATGCCAGCCTCAACAAATGTGAGGTGCTAAGCAACTCACTGTTTAAATAAAATACAAAATAGAGCTGGGGATGTGGCTCAGTGGTTGAGTGTCCCTGAGTTCAATCTCTGGTACTCCCAAGACCCTCAAACCCCCAAATGTAATGCAGATTTATTTTTGCTTTCTAATGTGGAATTTGTTTTTCAAATTCTCAGGCATTCAGTAATGGAAAAGGAATAATCTCTACAGTCAATAAATTGTAAAACTGTTTTTTGGCACCAGGATTGGTCTCTAAATACTTAGTGGTGTACAATTATTAGTACTAGCTGTGAAATAATAGTTAAAAATGGAAAACTGAGTGTAAGAATTTTTATAGGGATTGATAGTAACATATGTAATACATCTAATGAAATGATACATATTTTTTGACAAATATCTTATTGGTATTTCTGAGAAAAAGAACTGTTATTATGTATCTAATGCCAAAGAGCATAATTAGTTTTACCTCTATCTCTACATATGGTTGAAGATAGTTAAGGAATATCCCTTCCTGCTTCTAAACAGTATCGGCAACTAAAACACTTTGTCTAGTTCTATTTTTCTTAATGTATGTATCACTGAATCAATAGTGATAGATGTGTTGATCTTTTAGAAGTGGCAGTGGCCTCCCTTGTGTCAAGGCCAGCAAATGGCATGGCTGCTACCTCTTACAAACAACCGTGAAATTATTTTTTTCTCCCTCACACATAGAGGAAATAGTCTCACTTTAGAAAATTATTTAAAAATAGATCATTATCTGTTTCAATAAAGAAAAGTCATGGTCATTTCTTCTTGACTAGAGTATAGTTTTCCCTCCCTTCAGACCTATGAGATGATAACAAATACATGATCACAAGATTAGCAGTTCCTGTGTCTATAAATTGCACAAACTGGCTCTTCTTGGTATATGAATGTTCCACACCCCATTTTTGCTTCCCCCCTGAACTCAATCACTTTAAAACCCAGGGCTCCTGATGAATTAACACAGACCACATCCTTGTCTTCATGCAAATACTGATCATGTGAAAAAATATCTTATGTCAGGGGAAAGTGTGCACATGTTCAGGATTCTAATGATAGTAACCATTAGTAAACTTTTCTGAGAATCCCCAGGGCTTCCTTTGAAGACTCCATTTGTGTTCTGAGTTACAGCAGATGGGCAGAAGACTCGGTTCATTGAGACCTTTTCTGAAGTACATATTAGATTTCCACAAATCACAATTTAGCCATGCAAAATCAAACATGTCCATGTGTTACTTACTTTTTTCAGTTTTTCACTGAGATAGTAAATAGTTTTTGAAGAAGTTAAATCGTATCTTAAAAATATATATCTCTGAAATTTTGACCTGGAAATGTACTTACAGATTTAGTATTCCCGTCAATAATTTCTTCTTCCAGTGGTTCCAGTTTGAGATCCTTCAGTTAGAGGAAGAAATGCAGGGGTCAAAACCAGAAATAAAATAGTTGAAATCAACATCATATATTCATATGGTAGTTCGTTCATGGCCAATATTGAACCAAAAGAACCTCATTCTCTGAAAGGAGATGAAAAAATTCTGATATATTAAAAACTGAGCTGTTTCAGTGAAGACTTCTTGTGCCCATTTATCAATTGCAAGGATATATTTCAGATATGTTCAACTCATTATTGCTTTAAGTTTACTTCCGTGATATCATTAGAGAGCTAAGTGTAGGAGAGAGGTACAAGAAAACAGAGAAGCGAAGCTTAGAAAGGTTAAAAAAAAAAAAAAAAGAATGACTAGACCTAACAGGTGGTTTCTTTGGCTATGAGTGTTGCCACATTTCTGTATTTCTTGGGAAGTAATTATAGATGATTAGTCTATTGTTATAATGTATTTACAGAACAGCATAAATATTGCTTTATTAAAAAAGAAAGTCAATTAAAAAGTAAATGAGAATACTTTTGATATTCACTAAAAATCTAGTACTTCTATAAAGACCTCAGCATCTTCTATGATCAGCAATGGCTAAGAATAGTGCCCCCCATGAAACCACAGAACTTCATTCTATGAATGTAAAGCATTTCTTCCAAGCGAGAATTATGCACTATAATTCTTTCAAATGAAGTCAGTTGAAAGTTATAGAAATTCAGGGTATCTGGAATAACATAGCTTGTTAATAATGAAGCTATGTTGCTCTAACCGTGTAGCTCTCCTGTGGTGGGACTTTAGGTGAGTGATTTAACGTGTGGGATTCACATTTATTGTCCATTCTGCCTTAAATTCTCCATTCTGAGAACTTCCTCTAACTGCTGCTTCTCATTCCCATCTCAGTTCAAATGTAACCTCCTTAGAGAGACCTTCTTGGACCACTCACTTTGAGGGTTCCACCTTCCATCTTGATCCTATTGCCCTACTTTTCCTTCACAGCATCCCTTATCTGATTTTACCTTGTTTCTTATATTTGTTTGTTCATCTATCTCTCCAGATACCAAAGATTCAACCAGTTTTGGTCACTGCCATATTGTCACTGTCCGAATAGTGCCAGTAGATACTCAATAAAGATCAAACAAATGAGTGGCTGAATTCATGCCTATCTAAGTCATAACCTTTTCATGAAGGAAAAATTAAATAATAATATAGATATATAGAATATGAATTTAATATTAAAACATCATTCAACAGATGGAAACTGTGACATGGTAATCTCCCTGGATATTTTCCTGACACTATCTCAGGTACACTTTTCAGTTCTACCTTCTTTGATCTAAGGTAAGAAAAGCTTAAAACACATGGCGTAAGTGTGAGGTCTTTAATTACTCCCCTTGATGTGAGGATGTCCTAGGGTCTGACGATGATACACTGAAGACTTCATGAAGAAGGAAGAGGTTTTATTGTTGTCTTTCCCACTGTTTTGTTTAACATTAAAGGAGTTTTCTGCAGCATTCAAGTAAAACCTAAGGTAGAACCTCAGGATAGCCCATAAATACAGAGACCAGAAAGGATAGAAGGAAAACCTGAAGAAACTTGCAGGCAAAAACAAGTGTTGTTTTTCTGCCACATGAATGGAATCGGGCTTGGTTTACAGTGTAGGAAGAATTTGTCATAAATACTTAATGGACAGAAAAGGCAGCATATGTTCCACTGCAGGCACACTGCTTTCTAATGGGGAGATCAAACCCAGAGCTAACAACTGTAGGACACAAGGCAGTCAGCAGTGAGATGACATGCACTTGGCCACTGTCTGGCAAAATTGGGTAGTTTTCCTCTACAAAACTAATTCGGCACAGTACAGAATAAGTTGTAGAAGAAAACTGGACTTAGACTGCTTCTCACTCGTTAAGATGGCTCATGCTGCGCTCCACGCAGCTGGAGCCCAGGGCTGAAAACCATCCCCTTGTACTTTTAGCAAGCCTCCCAGACAGTTCTTGGAATAAAACCTCCTCATAGGAAGGGAGGGAGACAGAAGTCTGGGAAAGAAAGAGCTGTGACAATACCTGAATTTAGAATTGGAAAAAAAGAAAGAAAGAAAGAAAAAAAAAAAGCTATGACCTAAGTTTGATCCATTTCTTTAAAAGTAACTGTATGGATTTCAGACACCAGATCAAGGCATTTTTGCCAAGAATTTCAAAACCCCTTTAAAAAGAGGCTTGGCTACTCTTTAAAGGAATTGAAATTTATAACAACAGAATTTTTATATTTTAATAGGGTTTCGTCTTCAAAAAGGGGTCCTGAGTTTCCAGGACTTCCAACATTAGAAAAGTAATTTTCATAGCCAATGTTTTTTCATTTCAACTCACATGTCAATGAAAAAGAAAGGAGAGGTGTTGCTCTACAATGAGCTCACAGTTTAGGTATTTGTTCCATATGCAAATTTAACAAAGATGCCCTGTCAGAGAGACTGGAGCTCTCTATACTCACCTGCTCTTCACCTGACTGTTTGACAGACTTTCCTTTTCATAAGACTTTCCCATCCTTAGGACCTGAGTTTTCATCTGTGTGAAGTTAGCATTTACAACCTTAACCTGTTAGCCTGGCTTCTTTCCTATTAACTGGGTATTTCTGTCTGGGTATCTTATTATACCTTGAAATTAATGAATCTGAAAAAGTAGTTTGCCTTCTCATGACCTAAGAAATCATCTCTCACTTGTCTCTCCCGCTTATGTTCATGGAATAATTATCCCAGACATTTAGGCTCAAATCCTTAGACTCCGCCCTGAGTTCCTATCATGCCCATTCAATGGTGCTGTTAATTTCACTTCAAATCCTTCAAATCTGCTGTCCTTCCTTCCTTCCTTCCTTCCTTCCTTCCTTCCTTCCTTCCTTCCTTCCTTCCTTCCTTTTCTCTCACTAACTTGATCTGAGCCAGCTATTGCCATTCCTGAGAACAGAGGATTTAGATGCACAAACCTGCTCTTTCATGCTATAGTCTAAGCTGGTTTCAGGGGCTCTTAACCTAGTCTGCTCTAGTTTTAATCTATTTTCATTTTTAAAACATCCAATTTGCATCTTCCTGCCTAATTTTTTACCTAAAAGATCTTTTTGGTTTGTCACTTATAAATGGCTCTTGTTGTCTCCAAGACCAAGTCCATATCCCTGACTCTGTTGTTACTCAAGGCCACTCATGATCTGGCCAAACTCTGTCCATACAGCTTTCTTGGTCACTACTTCCCCAGATAAAGACTCTGAGCAGAGTGGGTCTATTTGACTGCTGTTCATGCCTTCACTGTAGACTAATGTTTTACTTCTCCAAAGAAGGTATTAGCTTTTCATCAGTTTTTTAGCCAATCAACCTTACTCCAACCTAAATGATGCTTTTCTTTGAGTGGGCTCTCTTCTTTATTTCACCCAGTGCTCTAGGACTTTTAATCAAGGTGTTTCCCTTCCTCTATACAAGAGGCCAACATGAGATCATAGTGAGACCAAACTCTGGCTCCTGGGAATTGGAGGCTTGAGCAGAAGGTCAACAGATTGGAAGTGTCTAGAACTCACTTATTCCAGTGGAGGTAAACTGAGAGGTTAAGTATTTCTTGTTTCCTAGATCTTTGGAGTTAGCTTATCTCCAGACTCTTCCTGAATTCAGGTCTCTAGACTATCTGTAGATTCTGTGGGTAATTCTATATCCTTCCAGAAAATTCTCAGTTTCATTAAATTCCAGTGGTGATTTCTGTTGCTTAGAATCAAATTCCTAATTGATTCATCAGCTTTAAAGTTAAAAACTTAAACTTTTTCTGCACATGAGACCTTCCCAAGTTCTTGGTGACCATTCCCCTAGGTGAACACCTGTAGATGTTAGCAACCTGCTGCATTCCTTTGGCATATCTCCAACAGTCAGCAAGAATTTGCTGAACATTAGCTATGAATTCAAGTTCTGTGCTATCACACATTTTAAAAAGTGATCTTTTAACTCTCTCTGTGTCTTTCAGAATACAGCCTGTTTTTAACAAGTATATTATAGATTCTTTAAAGTTAGTGATTCTCTCAAACATAAGTATTCCTTTCTGGGTGCCTAGTATTCACAGAAGACACATTTTATTACTGATTTACAAAGGCTGCCTCTACCATAAAACTGTATATTATTATGCTATCAGGATTGCTTTATATGAACTAAATTAATCAATAAAAATCATAATAGCCAGCAACTATTTAGTTTCTAAAGGGATTTTTATCACATCTAAACTTCTTATTTATTGTGGAAGTTTAACATAAAATCACCAATTAACATGCTAAATTTCTAGAAGTCGAGTGTAGAATCTCATTTTTGAGCCATTTCCAGGACTCAAATTGACTTTCAAGACTTCAACTAGGTCATCTCCAAAAGCTGCCATTAGCATCATTCAAGCTACCCAGGACACTTGATAATCTAAGAACCAGGAAGTGCAGCTGATTTAGTTAATTCTCTACCCTGGATCTTATTTTAAATATAACCTGCAACAAGAAGAGGAGGGAGAATTAATGTGAGCATCTGTATTTGCTTTAACAAATAAATAAACCACCATGATTACAACAACAAAATTATCACCAAGCAGCCATTCTTGAGGTTGCTGGGGTCCTGTTATTCTATCCTTCAGACACCCATGGATACTGAGGCAATGAGGAAAACTGGGTCAGAATAACTTGAAAAGTAGAAGAGAGAAGAAATAAAAGAAGCACACACCTTCTTTTCCAGTCTATCGATTAATTTCTGGAGTCTGTTGATCTGGGTCATCCACTGGTTGTCTTCTTCTAGCAAGCCTGGGGAGAAATCACGAGGGCTGTATGTTAAATGTTAGAGTAGAAATGCTTGGTTATCTCGCCTTTTACCCAGAGGGAAGAATGCAATGTCACTGACTTGTAAACACATTTAAAAAAATGTATTCCTGTGAGTATTTTCTTAGATATTGATTCATAGAGATTTGTGCATTTCACTGGGTTCATTTTTACGAGCCTGTTCTTTCTTTTCTTTTCTTTTTTTAAAAAATATTGTTGTCTGTATTGGCCTTTGATGTTCAACAGAACAAATCCTTCTGAGCCAGTTTTACTACCCTATAGGTAGTTGTTTCTCTTTTGGGAAAAAAAGGAAAGTATCAATCAATAATTGTATACTTACTTGTAGGGCCCTGTCAGAAACCAGTAAAAATACACCTGTGACCATAGAGGGTATGAATTGCTTCAAACAAAGGAAATACATGAGCAAGACAGCTGGTGCCTCCTTCCTGGGGACTAATTTGAGTATACAAGAACTCTGGTCCCTAGTCACAGCTTGACACTGCAGTGAACAGACTGGAGACCATTGCTTTATATTCATTTTTAAAAATTCACATATATACTCATATATGTATGTGATATATATATATATATATATATATATATATATATATATATATACACACATACATATGTGCATATATGTATGTATATATATTCATACAGAATACATTTTTGTGCATCTAGCACCAGGTTCAACATTACAGAAACTCTATGGCTACTATTATTGTCATTATTATGCAAAGGCACAAAGAGAAGAGGTGTGGTGTGAACCCCTGCACAAATATCCTGGTTCCATTGTGTGTCCTTATTTCAACTTACTTAGAATATTTTCACAAGGGATTGCTGAATTAATATTATTTAATATTTCTTGAAATGAGCATGTGATTGAATCTAAGAGTATAGGAAAGTATCCAAGAACCATGTTTCAACTTGGAATGCAATGATGACAAGACCTTAATTATAAAGGAGTGGAGCTTTACATCAGAATTTCCTACCTCACTTCTCATGGGAAACAGCCCTCAAAGGCCACTAAATAAATTATAATGCAAGAATGAATATTAGCACTGCCACGAAGGAGTGAGTATTAGAGAGGGGGTGGGTGGGAGAGGGCCAGTTGAAGAAAATGTTATAAATGTATAAACAAAATTTAGGTTTATTTTTAATTCACAAATTAGTTCATGTAATTCCAATCTAGGTTCTTCCTAAAAAGGATTTAAGATGGCTGACATATCAAATGTCTCTAGGAAGAACATTTTAGTCTGACACCGATTTCCAAATGGTAAAATATAAAGAATAATCTGTTTTGCCTCAGAAGCCTAGCATTATCATTTTCAAATCAGACATGGCAGACTGTATTATTGTTACAAACTCCTCACTTTTTTTTTTTTTTTGGTACTGGAGATTGAACCCAGGGGTCCTTAATCACTGAACCACATCTCCATCTGCCTTTTTATATTTTATTTAGAGACAGGGTCTCATTGAGTTGCTCAGAGTCTTGCTTTTGCTGAGGCTGGCTTTGAGCTTGCAATCCTCCTACCTCAGCCTCCTGAGTTCCTGGGAGTATAGGCATGTGCCACTGTGCCTGGCTCAACTCCTCACTCTTTTCCTGCTGTGGAAGTATGTGTATGATACCCTTCACAGGCAACTTTGTAGTACCTCCCACTACAATGACAGAACACATTTCCCTCCCCATTGTTACTGTGACAGGTGTGTGACTTGTTAGGCCAATGGAAAGTTAGCAGACAAGACTCACTCTGGTTTTAAATGTGCTTGTGTAGTTTTGGCCTGGCTTCTTGTGTTTCTGACACCAGTAGGAAGTGAAAGCTCTCCAGCTGTCACTTATCCCAGAAAGAGGCTAAGTGAAGAGCAGAGCAGAACTCAACCTATAGTCTGGAGCCAAATCCAGCTGACCACAATCCAAATCACAGTCTACCACAGGACCACGAGAGGCAAACAAGTATTTGCAGTTGTAACCAATGAGATTTTGAGATTGTTTCACAATAAAAAGGGGGCTAATACTCCATATTCTCTCGGACAGTTCATTTAACTTTCTGAGCATTGGTTCAACCAGCTGGGAAATGGAGAACGATGGGTAACATCTATAAGATGTTGGGGTAAAATAAGACTGTATTCAAGAAAGCAACCTGAAATCTTTCAAGTATAGTCAGAATAAATATAGGATATAGTTAGTACTTATTTTCTGAGTTTGCAGTTATTTAAAGATTCATTTGTGTTAAAATGACATGTTTAAGTGAAAAATGTGCATGTATGCCTACTTTATACAAATCACTCCAGTATTTAGCAACATAAGTTTCTTACTTCAGGTTGCTTTAAAACAATTAAAAATGATATACTTAAAATGTAATAACTTAACAAGTGTTAGTATTAGTCAATATTAATTCAATAAATCTTATGTTGCATTATGAACTTCAGAAATATCAGTTATAACTAATCCTAATGTGACAGAAGACAAGCATCCTTCCCTAAAATGAACTTAGGGTATGCTCAGGGAGGCCTGGAGATCAGGAGCACATTAGGGTGGAGCCCAAAGACTCTGACTCTCTATGTCAGAGTCTTAGAACTAGAGGACACCTCTTTGGGGTATGAGCCCAAGGAGTGATTTCCTCCCTGTTCACCATCTCTGTGTGCTTCCCAGGCACAGCTGTGAGGATCTGACAGTATATCCACCCACTTCTCAATGTCCTGCACCCTTCACCACTTCAGTTTCAAACTTATTTGATAGAATGTGTTCCATTTTTTTTTCTACAGTCTGTTTAATGATCCACTAGAAAATGTAAATTATGTAGAATATAATGCAGAAAAACAACAAAGGCCACATTACCTGGACCGCTGACATTAAACTGAGGGCTGTTGGGGGAGAAGCTGTTGTGTCTCTGGACCCGACGGCTCGATCGCTTGCCAGGCCACTGAATGGACAGGACTTCTGGCTTGGCTGGCCCTTGCCTGGGACAACAGAGAAAACATTCAGCCTCACTGTCGGGCCTTCAGCACTTTTCCTCCAGGAACAGGATTCCAAGCATCAGTCACAAAGGTTTTCTAGTAGACTGAAAGCTTAGGAGAAGTTCTGTTTGCAGATGTACTCCAGAGACCCAGGGCAATTAGTACAATAGCAAGTGAACCCAAGGAACAGAATTCTAGGTGTTCTTTATTCTTAAAATGAAAAGTCTAAGTAAAAACTATGTCTTCATTTGTAAATTAAGTAAAACTTCTTTTTTTAATGTTTTCATTTGTAAATTAAGTAAAGCTTTCTTTTCCCCAAGTCATTAATGGGGAAAGTATTTGTGCATATGTTGCTGTGAATTTTGCTTCAATTGAGAACACCTTTCGTTTTTTCTTAATTTATTTTTTTAATTTAATTTTTGATCCATGTTATGTATCCAGATATTTTACTTTATTTTTTGTATATTTTATTTATTTATTTTTATGTGGTACTGAGGATTGAACCCAATTCCTCACATATGCAAGACAAGCGCTCTACCACTGACTTACATACAACCCCAGTCTCTATCCACATATTTTAAAAGTCTTATTTCAACAAACCAAAGCACCTTCCTCCTATACCTAGACTCTACCCCTATCTTCTTTCACAAAGGCAAGAATTTTTAGCAAGTTTATTCTGGTGTTTACCTTTTTGTCAGTATCTAATAGCATGCTTAAATTTCCATCTTTTTTTTTTTAATTTTAGGCTTTATCTATTAGCTTCTCAATACATAAAGCTCAGGCCAATGCTATATACATGGAACTTGGAAAAAAGGCTGCTTCAAAGGATGGATTCATTGGCAGGAAAGCCTTTTTCTGTTCCTTATTCTTATTCTTTGCCGGTTTGAATATAGATAAGTCAGTTGGAATGTCAACAAAATCTTGGACCACAAGGCAAACTTGAGAATGGAAGACATTTATTTAAGATGTGAAAAAGGAAGAAGATCAATGGTAAATCTGTAGAGATGCCATGCTTGCCTTAGGCTGCCCTCACTAGCTTTCGCTGGAAATAATAAAATTTTATGTATTTAAGTCACTATAGATAATATTTTTTTCTGTTATAGGCAGATAAATCTAATACTAATTTACCCATCTAAAAATCTTTATTATCTATCAGCTAGGGAGTAAACCTTCAATTCTTCTACTCTGTTGGATTAACCCTCCCTCCTTTTCCTGTATGCCATTTTTATTTTAGTTGACTCTCTTGTTTGGGTGAAAAATATCCTTTAATTGCTTTATAAGGTCACTATGGAAAAGTCTGGTGTTTCCTTGATAAGTTGTATATGACCCGGTTTTTCTCTCTGGGGATTTTTGCACACTTTGTCTCTAGAATTCTAAAAACTAATGTCCTTATTCTGAGAATTTTCCTTCAATCATTTTATAATTTATTGTTCAGTGGAGAAATATTCAGCCCAGGTCTCACTTTTCATTATTTTATAATTTCTTTCTTTCTTTTTTCTTTTTTTTTTTGGAAAAGCTATTTTGGAAACATTGGACCTCTTGGACTGACCCTAGTTTTCTTATTATTTTTTCCTGTTTTTCATTGCTTTGTGGAGATTTCTTTATACTTTTATACTGAAATCTTCCTCAGAGAATTTCATTTTTGCAATTGTACTGATAATTTCCAAGGGCTCCTTTGTGTGCTCTGAATGTCTTTTTTTTTTTAAAAAAGCATCCTGTCCTGAATTCATAAATGTGGTATTGCTTATTAGCTTTCTGAGAATACTGATGATTTTCTTTTGAAAGTTTTCCTCTGATCTCTGAAAAATATGTTTCCTCTGTTTCTTTCTTATGTTTGATTCGTTTGATTGAGTCCCCACACATTTCAGAGGGAAGACCAGCAAGGCTGACTGGGACCTCTGTGTGCATGGTGGGGATTGCCCACTCACAGCCTCCATCGTGGAGTGGACTGGCTGGGCCCATTTATCAGGGGACCCTGATCCAAGGTACCATAACATCTTTTCTCTTGGATTAATAGATTATTTGGAATAGCCTCCCAACTGGAGGGCATGAGCCTACCTATCAATAATTTGGAAGCTCAGCATGCAAAGGAAGTATTATAGTATAGGTCTGGAATGTTCCCCTATGATTTATATGTTGAAGGCTTGGTCCCCAGCTGGTTGAATTACAGGGAAGTGGTGGAAAATTTAGGAGATGAGGTCTAGTTTTTGGAGGAAGTAGGTCTCTGAGGAATTGTCTTAAGGTTATATTTTGTTCCAATCCTTTCCCCTCTCATTCTTCTTTGCTTCTCAGCTGCCAGGAGTTGAGCGGTTTTGCTCCACCACACTTCCTGCCTTGATGTTCTGCTTCAGCACAGGCCCAAAGTGACAGCACCAAGTGACCATGGACTGAAACCTCTGAAATGGGGAGCCCAAACTTCTTTGAAGTTGATTTTCTCAGGTGTTTTGTCATAGCGATGAAAAGCTAACTAACATAGGAGGTTTCAGATCTACTGTTCAGTGGAGAAATATTCAGCCCAGGTCTCACTTTTTATTATTGTGCCCTGAATCCCAGTTGTGCCAGGTTTACATCTGCCTACCTCCTTGAGATAGTACAGCTCCTGGGTTCTTTAGATTGGGGAGGGGCGATGATTATACAGCTTCTAGCAACATGTCTGTCCTTTCACCTTACTCTCAGTTGCATATGGCATGGCCAATTTTTGAGATTTTCTGGAGTTTCTGTGATACCCACTACATTGCATTGTTTCTTACAACACCTGCTTAAGTTTCAGGTTTCCAAAGTTTTATATCAATTTCCAACAGATTCATCTTCTTTCCAGTTTCAAGTTTCTGCTTCTCTGGCTCTTCTGTCCTTATTTTTCAGGGATAATGCTTTATATCCAGATGCTTTTTTAAAAAAATATTTTTAGTTGTAGATGGACATATACCTTTATTTTATTTTTATGTGGTGCTCAGGATCGAACCCAGTCCCTCACACAGGCTAGACAACTAGCACTCCACCTCTGAGCTACAACCCCAACCCTCCAGGTGCTTTTAATGTCATTTTTTGAAAGGATTAGGGATGGAGCAAAAGAAATCATATATGTTTGATCTCTAATCTTTAACTAAATCTCTATGGATTTTCATGAAGCATAAGAGAAACCAACTTTCTGGCAACTTTGGTGGTCACAGGAATAGGTGATTATTTCTTTATGTTCAAGCTACAAGAATAGAACTGTGTGAAGCTTTATGATCACTTTTAAATTAAAGCTTTTCTGTACTTCTATAACAGACAGCTATTGAGAAGAGGAATATAACTTCCAAGCCCAAAAAGAATCATTCATATCCCTGGATGGAGAAGAATTCTGGAAAAAAAAAGATCAGACTTGCAGATTCCATTACACAAAGGAAATCCACATGTAATTAAATTGAGTTCCCATGAATGTAGTTTATGAGAAAGAGAGGTTTACGTAAGAAGACAGGGGTCCTCTAGAGGGAAACTTCAGTATCACGTAATGATTATTCTTGTCGTTGGCTATTAGGTTCTTCCAAAAGACATGGAATTAAAGTGGCTCCTGCTTAGTCAATTTGCCAGGACAGACACAAAGATTGTTATAGGATGCCATCTGAAAATCTCACCTCTGTGGCATTCCAGCTGTACACATCCCTTCTCTCTGAAATTGCCATTTTCACATGAACAGACACAGACATTTTGCCCAACACGGCATGTCTAACTCATTACCACAGGATGAATGATACTGGGTGATTCTGCACTGGGGCTGTGAGATAGAATAGATGACTTCTTCAAGTCTGCTATATCTCAGTAAGTCTTTGTATCTCTAGGTTTCACAGATATTAAATCTCAAAGTAATGTTGATGCTGAAAGGGAAACATATTATTATAACCCTAGGGATTTTAATGAAGCCTGCGGGTTATAGCCCTTCTCTATGCAGAACATCATGGAATTTTTCTTTACATCATAGACTGATGAGTTTTGGGGTATATTGATTTAACCTCTCTTCTCCACATGTGTTCTCTTCTCTTTCTCAAATGTCTCCTACATACATATTATTGTTAGATTAATTTTCCTTAAACCTTGGTTTCATTATATTGCTCTGTTGTTAACAACTATTAATGACAATCTCTGGTAGAATTAAGTCTGAATGCATCTGGCTATTTTTAGATCTTTTCAAATCCCCAAAGCCAGTTAGATTGGTCACTTTGCTGTCACAACTGCTCCTCTGAAGGGCTCCCTTTACCTGGAATTCTCTTGCATTCATTCAGTGCCATATATTTAAATGAAGTTGTACCAAGTGGAGGGGGACAATGTAAAATTCCTGCCATCTGGAAACTCAAAGTCTAATGGGGGAGAGGAATAAGTAAGGGGATGAGTAGATTTGAATAGAGGATACCTTGGGAGAACTTGCTAGAGAAGTGGGAGACATGAAATTTTCTATTTTGAGAGCCCTAAAGGCTTCCAGATAAAGTATTTTCCAGTGACCAAACAAGCTACAAGGAGTCAGCCAGATGAGAGGTGGGTAAGATGGGATGATTGAGGCTACTGACGGCTTTGGATCATCATTGTGCCATTCAAATTCATCCTAATGGCTCAGCTCATCTTTTATCCCCATAATGATTTCCACTGGCATCTTGATGGACATCCTGGTAAAAGGACAGCTTTGCTCTCTATTTCACTGGTGTGGGCCAAGGTGCTCTCCTCACCTTGGTTCTGGGTAGCTAGCCAATAGGAAGTTGTAGCCTTGGGAAAGGAGCACAGCCCCTTTAGACCGGGGTTAATTCATGTGCTTCTGATTCATGAAAGATTTCACATTGGATGTTGTGGTCACAAACTCAGAATGGTACCTTTTTAAAAATTTGCTTGTTTATGCATTTATTTAGAAACCTCCAAGAAGGAATATCACAAGTTTGGGGTGGGATTTGAGCATCTCTGGAAATCTTAGTCAAATAGCAGACAATAGCACTTTCCACACTGACATTAGACCTGCAATAGTTCCCCTTTGTTCAAGTTGGCTTTGAAAGGTTGAAAGGTTCATTAATCCTCTGGTTTCTTCCACTTTCCTTAAACTTTGTATTATTATCCTCCTCTCCAGTAAGCACAGCTGATATGCAGCTGTTGGCAGCAATCACAAGAGTTCAAGGCTAGCCTGTGGCCTAACACAAAGAAGAGTTGCTCATTAAACATTCATTGTGTGGTGATAAATGCACAGAACAAGTTTGCAGGAGAAATTAGAGAAGGAAACCAGAAGTGCAGGTGAAGAGGAGGGCGGAGGCCTTTTCAACCTCTTCTCAGGTGGCAAATGATTGATTCTAAAAAAAGGAGAATCCATTTTATTTCCAGAAAATCTAAACAAAAGAAACAACAAAAGAGGCGTCATATTCTCATTAGGAACATGAAATCAATTCCATTGTGCTTCAAGACATTCAGTTACCTTCTGCTCAAAGCTGGGGAGTTGGATTGTTGCTTTTCTAAAACTAATTGTTACATTTTGCGATTTGATATGAACTCACCCAACACAGCAAAAAGAGAGAATTTGTACTGTGAAGAATGATGCACAGATCCATGGAAGGGTTCATCCCTGTGTTCATCAGCTGCACGAGCTCATTAAATTCAGGAATTATAGGCTTTTTTGTTAGAATTTGGTGGTGCTCACTCATTTTGACACTAAACACATGGTTGAAAATTTCACTAGTTTTGGAGATGTCCTAATAATTATGTATCCATTAATTTGTTTACAAAAATTGGTCTTACAAAGCAGTCTATGATCAGCCTGTTCAAAAAACTTACTGTGTTGTTCTGCCCAATTTAGGATGCAAAATGTAGGTAAGGCACATCCATAGGTTTAAAGGGACATAGCAGCTAAAATATGTTGCAAGAGCAAGAGTTTTGCCATGCCCTTCTCTAGCTTGCAAGGTATGAACAATAACTCAAGAAAGCACTAACTGTTGGTTAGAATTATTTTCATGTCTGCTTTACACATTTATTACACAGATTTCTCTTTAGCCTTTATTTTTACAGATATTATATCATTTTTATTCTCAGTAAGACCTGTTGGTGGCACTGAATTTTGAAATCTTTCCTATTGTTCATTTTTCTCCATATTCTAAAATAATTAGGGTTATTAAATTCTCAAGTCTCTCCAGTGTATCCTGGTTTACTTAATCGGTAATGTCCTTTCTCATGATTTCTACACATTTTTGCAAGACAAGTCTAAATGTTGTAGAGAAACTCCACAAAATGGACTTTTATCCTCTGTCTGTATTTAATCTTTTACTTGTCCAAAACCCACTGGCAATTTCCCTCCCTTTTTCTATGATATTTATCATTTGGTACTATATAGCTTACTTTTGGTGTTCATGCCCTATTGTTGTAATATAGTTTAGACTCCTTAAGGAGTGACATCATGTTAAATGTATCTTAACATCATCCACATGTCTTTTAATGTCTTCTCCATCTATGAATTTTTAATGGAAAATTTTTGAACAGATGATGGACAGGAAAAGAAATAGTGAATGATTTTTTTTTAAAGGCAAATAATAAAGCAAGCACCCAATGGAGGTCCTTGTCATTCCTTTTAAATCTATGAATTCTCAGTTTAGTTTTCACTAGTATGAGTACAATGACCGTCAGCTGATTTTCCATAAACACAGAGTCACTAAAGAGACATCGTATTAAAACATTTAGTTGCCTTTCTTGACGTGTTTGCTCCTCGGTAGTTTCCATGGCACATTCCAGGGAATTCTGGAGAGACTGCAGCTGATTCAATGTCTCCTTCAACAGAAATCGAGTCACAAATTGTTCCAAATTGGAAGCTTCTTGATAGTCCTAGGGCAACAAAACAAAAGCAATCAGAAGTATGGGGGTGGGGTGGGGAATAACCAGGAATAGCTTTTCCTCTGTGTACCCTTCAACCTGGGACTGATCCTGGAAAAGGAGGGTGGAGAGGAGGGAAAAATGTGATGGCCTATCCACTTATCAGAAATTGCATGAAAGAGCTGCAGAAAAGGCTGGATTAGATCACTTCTCATTGCACCTGTCCCTAGTTTAGGTAAAAGAAACAAACCAAACCAAACCAGAATAATTATGAAATAGACATTGGTAGAAAAGGGAAACAATAATCTATGAGAAGAAAAGATTGGAGCATGGCTGCCAGGGTTCCTTCCATGTTTTAGTTAAATGATGATCATGCCACAGTATTGTTTTTTCTCTACTACCAACAAAAAAAGTCACGTTTCAGCAATTGGTTTAATTCCCTCTTGATGTATTTATTATGCTTAATCTGTATTCTGATGAATCCAGAGGAAATGATGCTGGTTATTTTAAAATTCAGTATGTTAGTCTTAGAATATTCAAATGGTTTACTAAATCTACTCATGTCCCTCTCAGTAATTTCACCTGAAGCTCATTTGCAACTGTCTCAGCCAGGAAAGCATCATTCACTCCTGCAGCCCTGGGTCTACATGCAGATCACTGCGGTCTTAGTGGCAGTACTTGCTGAGTGAGCATTAATTCACAGGTAAGTGGGAGCTGTGAATTGTATCAATATGTAAGTCTACCACTTTCTCAAGTCTCAGGGAGAACCAAGGAGGAAAACCTGGTTAGCAAGAATGAAATGGCAACACAACTGCTCTTTCAGTTCATGGGACCAGCCAGTGAAATCTGATTTTCTATTCTTCAGTGGAATGGTATATATTCAAGTTCAGCCAAGGAAAAAGATTTATTTGGTTCTGTCCCTAAACAAAAAATTTTTCTTTCTTTCTTTCTATTTATTGATTTATTGTGGCTCCAAGTAAAAAACTGAAAGGACTGACATGACAAGATAATGCTCTGAGTCTTGTTACACCACGGAAACACAGGGCATGGTTATAAATCTAAAAAAAAAAAAAAAAAAAAACAACAACAATAAAAACAAACAACATTTAGTTATTTAACCTCTCGAGGTCTCAGCTTTCTCACTTATAAATAGGCTAAGTACCTCCATCATACAATCCAACTCAAAAAATATCCTGTTTTCCTATTGACTCTAAGTTATAAAGCATAAGAACATGGCCTATTGTAACAATTTTGGAAAATGTTCTTTTAGCAAAGAAATCTAATGTCACACAGAAATCTCATTTCTTTCTTAAAATGAAATAGAACAAAGTTTGAATCATCAGTCTCTCTTTAAGCCCTTTCTTTTCAGGTAAACAACATCGAGATTTTTCTTATCTGCCCTTTTAATAGCCTTATTTGGAAATTAGATATTGAAGTGTCTTTAAATTCCATTTAAGAAAATAAACCATAAAACAAAATATTGCATGCCCTTAATTATAAGGATTTTTGGTGAACTAAACCAAGTTAAAATATACAAAATACTAAAATTCATAGCTTACTATTACATAGCTTACTATTTATTGGTGATAAAAATTTCAAAAAATTACTTTTCAATGTATTTTCTGAAATCAAGGAAAGTTTTATTTAGAGATAGAAGATATGTTGCTAGAAAAGAGCCTGTGTTTGACTCTCCAGTTATTTCCCTTTTGCAAATGCATATCTTTAAAAGAAAATTTATTAAAATAAAAACAAAACATAATTGCATAGTCAGATATTATGCCAAACATATTTGCATCTCAGCATACACTATGACTAATCCTGAGCAAATGGTAAAAAGTTTTATACTGGTTGATAGGCAGCTCTGAAAAGTGAAAGAAGCATACATCTACTGAACCATGAAGCATAGCTTTTGCCTTATTCTTTTTTAAATGTTCAATATCTGTCATTGGCATGTCACAGCTATAGAAAGTTAGCCAATTTAAAAACTTCTGTCACTGCAACTAGATTGTTGCTTCTTAGACCCAAAGGTCATGTCTTCAATGTCTGTATTCCTCATGGTGCCTTGAGTAGAACCTCATTCCATACCTGATTGTTTTGCAGATAAACTTCTGCCCTAAGAATTTATCACATTCTTATTGTGCTTTTAAAAATAAAGATTTTGATGCAAATAAAGCCAGAGATTTAAGAAAAGTTACAATCAGATAACTGGCTACGCCATCATTGTGCTATGGAGCAAAACAGAAAATTATCATGACACTTTCTTCTCACATTGATGAGAGTTTACGCTCCCCACTTGTGACTCTCCAGATAACATTAAGAAGTACCGCATCCCCATTGGTAGATGTATTTGACAGAAATATTGATGTCTTGACATTGAGATGGGTGTTAGGTGGGGATAAGGCTCTGGAGGATTAAGTTTTTTGAATCACTTATAAAGGTTAGCTGCTATGTGCTGCCCCATGGTGATAAGGAGAAAAAAGCCTTGTTTTCTAATATTCCCACTTATCCTTCGAGGCTTAGCTCATGGCACTGTGTCTACATCGCCTTTACTCCTCTGAACACTGTGAGACACAGTTCCTTCCCCTCCTGTGCATTCCTGTAATACTGCTTCCCTACCTAGGGCATATGATTTGCCATTTTCTATTGTAACCTGTTGTTTACTTGTCTTTCTCCCTCATTTTAGTTCAGTGCTTTAAGGGTAAAAGATTATGTCGTATTCATCTCCATCTCCAGAGTGCCCAGAACAAAGTCTGGCGCGCAGCAGCTGCCTCATAAATGCTTAAAGAATATGTGAGGAACAGGAAACCATGTGGAGATGAAGGCACCGGAGGGAATGTCAAGCCCTGGGAGCTGCTCTTGCCTCTCACCAGTCACCAGCTGTGCCCCTGTAGCTGGCCCTCGCTGTTTGCAATTGCTGCTGCCCAGCTTGCCTGGTCACATGGGCTCCACAATAAAGGGAAACACAGCTTTGCTCTTAGCAGACTGTTTGTCCTCATTTCATTTTCTGGACCATTTGCTGGTCTCCTTCCCTTCCCTTACTCTGGATCCCAAGCTCTGGGACTGCAGAGGCAGGCGGCACAGATCCAATCTCCTTCCCTTCTTTCAGATATGCAGCAGATGTTCCTTTGGAAGGCAGTGGTGAAAGAAGCAGATGGAAAATTAAATAGATAGCAAGCTGGAAAATGTCAAAGCCTGGCCCTTTTTATTCTCAACAAATGTGTTGGTTGTGAAGATACAAAAAGAGATCTTTGCATTGCTAACTCCCTAGAAGATTGATAGGTTGGTGTAAGACGCATGTTCCTTTGAGAGAATGGTAGAAAGGACATTTACTGGTCTAAGAAAGCACTAAAAAGCAATTGTACAGATGAAACACAATATCCAGATTCTGCCTTTATTTTTTTCTTTTTGCAGATTATTCCCTCATGACTGTGAGAAAGGATGTGGCCAAATGAAAGCCAACAGGGTATTTCTCAGATCTCAACAACATTTATTCAAGTCATTGAAAATTGTCAATCACAATTGACAGTTGATATATTGGTTAACAAAGTACCATTAATACTTCCGTTTTTTTTTTTTTTTTTTTGCTTGTGGAAAGCCAGAATGAAAACATTTCAATATTCGCATTTCCTAAAGCATAGTACTTTGAAAATGAGGTTTCTTGTGGGGACTGCCTATGCATCTTAATTGTCAGATCATTTCTCAGGAAGCAAGCTCTGCCCATCTGGTTGATGGAAGATTGGAGATCTTAGTTATTAACCCACTATGAATCATCTGAGTTAATTAGGAAAATCAGAGCATCAGACTTTCTTGTTTATGTTTGCCCTATTTGAAAATTAATCAAGTTGGCGACATCCAGTCTAGTGTCTAGTTTAAGAAGTCAGATACAATCACATTTAGCAGGGGGCACTGCTTCTAAATGCCTTCTGATTCACACTCCTGCAGTTTTCACCAATCTTGTGTGAGGCATCTGTGCTAGATTCCATAACAGGAAAGAGCCACTCTGCAAAGATAACATTATCTCTTTATCTTTTTCTATCCTTCCTCAAACTGTTACTTTTTTTTTTTAAATCTTAACTAGCTTGCACACATTACCTATGTCCTACTTCTTTTAAAATATTCTTGGGTTTTCTTATTTTAAATAGCACACTTTTTTCTTTCTTTTTTACATTTTTTTCCAACCTGGTAGAATACCTTATCAAATTTGACTTAAAAAAAGAAAAAAATAAAGAAGTGGTCCATAACTATCTTAAAAATGGACCAAGCTTAATCCCAGATATGTCTTTGGATCTTAGATGGCAAAACAAGAGATCAAAATAATTTCAGACTACAGATTCTCAAGGATTAAGTGAATTAGAATCTCAAATTAGTGAGAGCATGAACAAGGTTATAATTTTGGAATAAAGTATTACTAAACAACCACTATTTGAATTTTAGCTAAATATCCCATTGTTTGAAATCAGAAAATACATAAGAGATGAGTTATATTATTTAAGACCTTTATGTTGACATACTCCATTGTGAAATGCTCATCCCAAGGTTTTTAAGGATTTATTTTATGTAGGCTTCTTTTTTCCTGGTTCCTTCTGTTGCTGTCTCACACCAGGAGCTATGGCCCCCTAGATGTCTTTTTCTAAAGAATGATTCCATTCTGCTATGAGATAATCATCTTCAAACAAGTGGATATTTAGGAAAATGCATTCATGTGTAAGTATGGGGTCTTCCTTGGAATTAGCCCACACCTGGAGATTGATAGACAACAGGTAAAGACCCAGGTCACACTCACAGGTACCTAATAACAGTGTGGTAGTTAAGAATTTGGGTCCGAGGATGGTCACATTGAAGTTCTGATCTATACCTCTGTCACTTGACAGCAGTGTGAACTAAGAAATGAATGCTGTCCTCCTTATCTCCTGGTAGAGCACTTCATTTTCTAGATTCTTTACAAACTTCTTTCTCAGCTTCTGAGTCTATGCGTCTTTCAACATCCCTACTTGCTAAACTGTAAGACTAGT